TCACACACACACACACACACACAAACACACATCACATCACACACACACACACATCACATCACATGCCGAGCATCTGGTTTTCTTCCTTCTCCCTGCGTGCAAGGACGAGTTCGCGCACGCCGACCATGAGCTGATTAAACGCCTGCCGCACCTCGTCTGGCCGCTCGCTGATGTCTGTCGAGTACAGCCGCGCTTTGGACAGCGGGCCCTCTGGTGTGGTGCACAGTTGCACGCACCGCATGGCAGTTACACAGGTAGCACATGGTGTGGTGAGGTTGGGCAACGTTGTCACTGACAAAGGAAGGGTGAATGAAAGTCAGCAATTTGCTGTTGTTGTTGTTGTTGTGTAAGTTGTTGTTTAAGTTGTTGTTGCTGTTGTTGTTGTTGTTGTTGTTGGTGGGCACGAGACGCTGGCACATTCAGGCACAACACAACAGATACAACGTTCGGCGAGTGCAACACCATGTCACCGTTGTGTTGGACGCACCGATTGCCACATCTGAGCGTGTTGGGCTCTCTGTGGACGGGTTGTTGGCAAAGACAACGCATTGCCCGCTGCGAAGGCCAGCCCGCTTCACAAACGTCTTGAACCTGCAATGCACACACACACACACACACACACACACACACACACACACACACACACACACACACACACACACACACACACACACACACACACACACACACACACACACACACACACACACACACACACGTACACAGAATAACAACAAACAAGATCGCCGGAGGTCCCACGGCAAAGGCAGCAGCACATCCACGATGTGGTGAATGGGTGACCGAGAAAGGCACATGAAACAAAGAAAGAAGCGGGTGAACAGCCAACATTTGCAGACAACAGCATTGTGTGCGTTGTGGTGACGGGGAGAGTGTGCAACGAAATCATTTCACGCCGACACGAATAGCATGGGAACAAAAAAACAAACAATTTCATTATCACAACGCACCATGGCCCGAGGTCGTTCTCCTGACCCATTTTGTTGATGTCAAACACGATGATAGCACCGTGTGCCCCCTGCGCCATGGCGGGCCACACATTTTCATAACTGGCAAAGACGAACACGTGTGTGTGTGTGTGTGTGTGTGTGTGAAAGGGAGTAGCGGGTGCATGCCACATGCTTGACCTCTGCCACACAGAAGAACGAGTCCACACATGCATCCCACTTTCGCAAACACACACACACGCACCTCATGTCGCCGCTGACATCCCACAGCTCCACTGACATGTCCGAGCGACGACCGGTGTCTGTCTCTGCATCAAACTCAAGTATCCTGCATGCGTCAAAAAGGGAGACAGACAGACAGACAGACAGACAGACAGATGCGTGTTCAGAAAGAATCGCAGTGAATCATGATCGCAGTGAGCTACACACTGATGCGGAACGAGCCCTTGAGATAAACGCTTAGCAGAACAGAGGGAGTGCCAACTTCAAGTGCAAACACGGTATATGAACAGGTACCATCCCTTCGTCACACCTGCATCCTCGTGTCGGAAGGTAGTCGACGCCATCTGTGCTGGTGATGGTATCGCTCAAGAAGTTGGCCAAGTGCGACTTTCCAGTCTGTGCGCGCATGTGTGTTGTGTTGTGTTGTGTGTGTGTGTGTGTGTGTGTGTGTGTGTGTGTGTGTGTGTGTGTGTGTGTGTGTGTGTGTGTGTGTGTGTGTGTGTGTGTGTGTGTGAGCTTGCGAACCACAGCAAACCGCATGCTCTCAACAGCGCATAGTCATGCAGCTGTTCATACAAAACACACACACACCTGGTTCTCGATTTTGAGCTGCTCAAAGTCGATGAGGTGGAGCCCGCCGGACATTTTGTCCTTCTCACGCATTTCGTGCTGGGCCTGTTCCAGCGTGGCCTTGAGGCGATAGTGCTTCCTGCGGCTTGCCGCAAGCTCCTCCTCCTTCTCCTCGTAGTCCTTGTCCATGGGCGCAAACTCGTTGGCACGCAGGCGGGTGCCGTTGCGAGAGCTGGCGCAGAGAAATGCAGCGATTGCATTCGATTGCATGAGATGGGATAGCGGGTGAGGACGGACGAGGGATGGTCGATCGAGCCAGCAAGGAAAAAAGCAAGCAAAGGGTGAGTGAGCATTCAAGAACACAAGCTTTCGTCCAAAACGAACAAGGGGAAAGGGGGGCAAGCAGCGCATACACACCACACACGCAGGCGGGCATGGCATGGCATGTTACCTGATGGACTGCAGGGCCACGCGCCGGCGCAACTTGGCGTACGCCTTGACGGATTGGGCAACCTCCTCCGTGCGCACGGCTTGCAGATCATGCAGGCGCGCAAGCTGAATGGGGCACCCAGCACACACGCCAGGCAACAAGGTGAGCACCGAGCAACAAGCACACAACACACGCGCAGAAGTATCTCGGTCACATGCAGCGACAGCGCATCACAACACAACAGACCAAGCGCAAAGTATCCGTTCACACAACAACAACAACAACAACTTAAACAGCAACAACAACAACAACAACAACAACAACAACAACAACAACAACAACAACAACAACAACAACAACAACAACAACAACAACAACACAAGTCCGTGGCTGCACCTCCTGTGTGTAGTATGTCTTCGTGTCCTGGTCCTCCGTGGCGAACCGGGCCAGGTCCTTGAGGATGCCCTGGTACCGCAGGCGCGCCTCCCCTTGCTTCATAAGCGGCTTCTGGTCCTTGAACCGCCGCCGCAGCAGCTCGGCCAGGTTCGCCTGTAGAATGGCGTTCCTGCTGGTGAGGGCGTCGTGGTCGCGCTGCAAGGCCTGCAGCCGCTGCGTTGCCGCCATGCGCCGTTGCTTCAGCTCGAGTGCAGCCGCGTGCTCCTGCTCGGCGCGCTCGCGGGCCCGTCGCTCCTCTTCCTCGCGTCGCCGCCTCTCCTGCTCCTTGCGCGCAGCAATCTCCTCCGGGGACGGTCCAAGCGACTCCAGCGCATCCTGAAGTGCCGCCAGCTCCTGTTCTTTGGTGGCGATGGCCGCATCAAGGTCCTCCGCTTCCTCAACAGAGTTGGCACGCTCGCGCTCCCCATGTAGCTGCGCAAGCTGCTCCTCCACCTTGGCAATGTTGGCGCGCAGCCTATCCCCGGGACTCATGGCCCGTGCAGCCTCATCCTCGCCGTCGTCACTGCTCTGTGTGGACTCTCCCTCCTGCGGCTGTTCGGTGGCCCCGCCCTCACTTCCGCGACCTTCAGCGGGTGACGCTGTGCTGCTGTTGCCCAGACGAAGCTGGCTCGCTTCCGCCTCCAGTTCGTGGATGCGCCGCTCAAGCTCTGCATTTGTGTCCAGCACATGGCGGGCCTTGGACGTCTCCTCATCCTCCTCCTCCTCCTGCTTGCCTTGGGCCGATTGCTCCTCCTGTCCTCCCTTCTGCTCCTCCTCTGCGCTGGTTGGCTGCTCTTGTTGGTGTTGCTGCTGCTCGCCTGAGCTCTCTGCTGCAGGTTGCTGCTGCTCTCCTTCATCCTTCGCTTCACCGGCTGCCTGATCTCCAGCCTTTCCATCATCTTCCTTCTCCGATGGTTGATCTCCTTGGTCTGTTGACGGCGCTGCCTCGTCTCCCTCATCACCTGCGCCTGCGTCAGCCTTGCCATCACCCTCGGCTGCCTCTTTCTCGCCGTTCTTCTCGCCTTCAGCTGCAGCCTGTGCGGCTTGATAGTCTTTGCCGGCAGTGTCTGCATTGGGCGCCGCTTCCTGCTCTTCCTTGGGCGCTTGCTCTTGCTTGGGCTTGTAGTCTGGAAGCCGCTGCAACGCGTCCTCCACTTGTGACCGCAGCGCCTCCTTCTCCGCCCTGACCTTCTCCAACTCGGCCTCCACGACCTGGAGCCGCTGTGCTACGTCGTCATCAAGAACAACGTTGTCGTCATAGTCCTCAACGCTGATGGATGGGCGCCCTGCTTCCGGGGCTGCTGTCGTCTGCTCGCCAGCGCCGCCGTCATCGCTGTTGCTCTGTGCTTGGTCTGGCTGCTGCTCTTGGTTTTGCTGTTGTTGTTCCTGTTGTTTTAATTGGTGTTCCTGCTGCAACTCTTGTCCCTCCTGGCCCTCTTGTGGCTGCTGGCCCTCTTCGTTCTGGCCTGCGCTTTGCTCTGGCTGTGGCTCTTCTTGCTGTTCACCTTCGCCTTCTTGCTTGGGCGCTTCGTCGGTCGCTTCCTGCTGCGATGCGTCAGCGGCTTGATCGACAGGCGCTGCCTCGCTCTGCCCCTGCTGTTCCTGCTGTTGTCCGTCTTGCTGTTGTTCCTGCTGCTGTCCTTCTTGCTGTTCCTGCTGTTGCTGTTCCTGTTGTTCTCCTTCTTGTTGTTGCTGCGCTTCCTGTTGAGGCGTTGCCTCGCTTCCAGGCGTGGTTGGCTGTGCCTCTTCGTCTGCCATGATGGTTGTTGGTTGTTGGGTGCTGCTGCTTTTGCTTGTTGTTGGCAAGGGATCGCTGATTTATGAATGATGCCACACAATTATCTACACACAAGGAAGCAAACCAGACAGAGCGCGAGAGGATTTGAGCACTCAGTGGCTTCATGTCAGCACATGCAAGCACTCAAGCGTCCAGGAGGCCACATCACACAGGCTATGCTGCACACCACACAGCGGACACGTATCATCAGCTGGGAAGAACAGAAACAAGGAGAAAAGCAAGAAAGGAGGACAGGCAAACAGAAATGCACAAAAAAGCACTGGATTGATGAGGCACAGTCACTACACTACAGCCACTACGTATCCACATGAACGTTGGCGCTTGACACACACTTGCAGTTAGAAAGTTAGACACACACACACACCACACACCACACACCACACACCACACACCACACCACACACCACACACCACACCACACACACCACACGCACCACACAACACACACCACACATAGCACACACACACCACACACACCACACACACCACACACCACACACCACACACACACACCACATACAAACGGCACTCACACAATCAAACAACACACCACGCAACACACAGGTTACGGTTCAGTGTGTGCTTCAGCAAGTCAGCGCGCTACGTCAGCAAGATGAGCAGATGACGGGGCAGTCGATAAACTTCACGCCTGCGCCAGCACAAACACAGGTAGCGTTGAAGCCGCGGCAACGCACACTGATAAGGGCCGAGTTGTACTGTGTCAAGTCCACGACCCCGCCAACATGAGCCAGCGAGCCAAAGTCCACCTCAATCAGCGCCGGGTTCCCCTTCAGTTGCAGACTACCCCCAATGTTCGTAACGCCACCAAGGTCCACCCGCGTCAGCGAAGAGCACTGTTGCAGAACCACATCCCCACCAATGTCGCCCAGCAATGCAAAGTCAGCGCGTACGCTGCGAACACTGCCAAAGTCCACGCTGGTGAGGGAGGAGCACTGCGAGATGTCAACATCTCCGCCAATGCTGTCCACCGACGCAAAGCTAACGTTGCTCAGCATGCCCAGGCTGCTCAGCTGAACGCTCCCGCCTACACCCGTGAGAGCTCCAAAGTCAATCGTTGTCAGCTCATGTGCTGTCTGGAGGTGCAGGTCGCCCCCAATACGGCCGATGGAGGTGAGGTGGATGGCTGGCAGCGCCAGGGCAACTTGAAGGCTTAAGCTTCCGCCAATCGCAGCCAGGGAGCCAAACGATATCTGCGTCAGCTGTTGCATCTGCGACAGCAACAGGTCACCACCTATCATCTCCAGTGTGCCCAAGTCAAGGGTCTTCAACACGCTGTCACTGCTCAGGTCCAGATCGCCACCAATGGCGGTGAGCGTGGCAAATGTGATGCTTTGCACGTCAGGTTCGTGGTTGAGGTACAGCGTGCCGTTGACGCTGCCCAGAGAAGCATCTTGGAAGGCTGACTTGCCAGCCAGGCTGATACCCAGACTGCTGTTGATGTGCAGCTGGCTGACCGACTCCAGCACCTGCACGTCGATGTACAGCGTGCTGCCAACCTCCGGCAGGGCGTGAAAGTCAAGGCTTGGCAGCGCATCGTTGTGCGACACGTCCAGGTCGCCCCCGACATGTGTGACTTGCCCAAAGCTCACGCTCTGAAAGCGGTTGTGGTCCAGACGCAACGCCCCGCCAACGCGTGTCAGCTCCCCAAAGTCAACTTGCGTGAGATCGTTAGACTCCAGGCGCAAGTCGCCACCAATGTCCCGCAAGCGGCTGCCCAGATCAAGCATCTGCAGCGCAGTCTTGGTGACGGCCAAGCTGCCGTTGACTCGCAGCAGGTTGGGAAAGTTCATGGCAGTGAGCGCATTGTAAGTCACGGAGAGATCGCCTCCAATTTCCCGCAGTAGTCCGGTGTCAAGGCCGTCCAGGCTGTTGGCGTCCAAGAGCACACCGCCACCCACTCGCGTCAGCATACCAAAGTCAACGTCGTTCAGAGCGCCGTTGTTGGTCAGGATAAGGTCCCCTCCCACTTCAGCAACGTTGCCAGCATCAAAGGCCTGCAGAATGTTGGCTTGAAGGAGCAGGCTGCCGCCAATCTTCGACAAGGGGCCGAAAGTGACCAAGGTCAGGCTGTTGGCTTGGAGATCAAGGTCCCCGGCAATGTGGTCAAAGGCCGAGATGAAGATGTAGAGACTGCCCTGATTCTGCTCGATGGCGACGCTGCTGTTGAAGTCGAGGTTGCTTGCGGATGACAGCGCCACTTCCGGCAGTCGTACGCTCCCTCGGAAGGGAGGCAGTACCGAAAAGTCAAACGTGCTCAGAGCCGCGTTCTCGTCCAGGGTTAGCTCCCCAAGCACGTACTGCAGCTTGCCAAACTTGAACATGCTCACACTCGTTGCGCTCAAATCCACGTCATCGCCCACGAACGCCAGCGAGCCAAAGTCAATGGAGCCGAGTGGGTTGTTTTGGAGCTTGAAAGACCCAGCCACCCGCTCGAGCGAACCCACGGTGAGAAACTCGAACGAGTTGGACGACAGATCAAACCCGCCACCAACGGCAGTGAGCGTACCAAAGGAGATGCCAGAGAGCTTGTTTTCCCTCAGCGTCAGCGAGCCCCCGACCTGCGCGAGCTTGGGGAAGGAGATGGTTTCCAGCTCATTGGCCTCCGCCGTAAAGTCGCGGCCAATGAGCGACAGCGGACCAAGGCTGAGGGTGGCAATGTCGTTGCCGCTGATGTCCACGCTGCCACCCACCGTCAACACCTCGCCAAAGCTCAGGGTGGCCAGCTTGTTGGAGTTCAGCAGGAGGTCTCCGCCCACTTGAGTGACACTGCCAAAGTTGACAGTGCACAGGTCATTGTCGGAAAGGTTGATGTGCTCGCCCACGCTGGTGAGCTGCCCAAAGTCAATAGACGTGAGCTCGTTGGCGGGGATGTGGATGCTCCCGTCCACGTGTTTGAGATTGCCCAGGCTGAGACGCGTCAGCCGGCTGCCGTCCAGGCGCAGGCTCCCACCCAGGTCAGTCACGTTGCCAAGACTCATGTTTCTGAGGTTTGGGTTGGAAGAGGCGACAATGTCGCCCCGGACATGCGTCAGGTTCTGCAAGTCAACGCTGCCGAGGTCGTCGTTGCTCGACAAGATCAGAGAGCCGTTGATGAACGCCAAGGCACCGTCAAACGCAAGGTTGCTGAAGGCGTTCTGGGTGAGATCCAGATCACCCGCGGTGCGCACCAGGGCATCGCCAAAGTCGATGATCGAAATGCTGTTGCTGCTGGCATCGATGTCACCGCCCGCGTGCTGCAGGGACGCAAAGGACAGCGACGTGAGCAGGTTGTGCTGCAGATACAAGCCGCCGCCAACGCTGGTGAGCGCAGCAAGGTCGAGGGCCGTCAGGTCGTTGGAGGAGAGGTAAACATCGCCGCCAACAGCCGCGACCTGGCCAAAGCTGAAGCTTGGGAGATGGTTGCGGTGCGCGGAGAGATGTCTGCCGACGCTGGTCAGCGCCCCAAGCGACACCTGAGTGATGGCGTTGAATGCAAACGAAACATCGCCGTTAACTCTGCTCAACTGTGGGAAGTCAATGCTCGGCAGGTTGTTGTTGTCCAGCAAGATGCTGCCTTGCACGTCCAGAAGCAGGTCACATGTGACACCGGTGAGCTGGTTCGAGTTGAGCCGCACGCTGCCGGACACGCGGGCAAGGCGTGGGATGTCCAGGCTGGTGAGCGCGTTGAACCGCAGGTCAAGGTCACCGCCGACGCTGTCCAGGTTGGTGAGGGTGATGTTGGCGATGTTGGTGTGGCGAACGAGAAAGGCGGCCCCCACCGAGCGCAGTAGACCGAGGTCGACCGACACCACCTCGTTCACGCTCAGATCCAGCTCGCCTTCCACCGTCACCAATCCCGTGAGGTCCAAAGCCGCGAGGCGGTTGAAGCTCAAGTCGAGGTTACCGCGCACCTCGCTGATGGCTGAGAGGCTGGCCCTGGTGAGCGCATTCCGTTGCAGATACACGTGCCGCACTATGCTCGAGAGGGCATCCAGCGCCAGACTGGGCAGCTTGGCGTTGTCGTGGATGTGGATGTCCACAAACACGGTCGTCAGGCCATCCATGCGGAGATCAACCAGGGCTGCATTGTCGGTGATGTACACGGACGCCTCCACGGTCAACAGGGCAGATGTGTCGATGAGGGTGAGCTGCGGGTTGCGCTGCACGCGCAAGTCTTCAAACACATCGTGCAGGGCGGGAAAGCTGAGCGTAGAGAGGTAGTCGTTGTCGCTGATGCTCAGTTGTGTCGCATCGTCCAGACTGGTGGCCGTGATAGCCGTGGCTGCGGTGTGTGCAACTCGCAGGGAGCGAACGCTGGTCACACCGCCCAAGTTGATGTGTGCGATTGGGCTGTGCTCAATGACGAGTTGTTCCAAGATGCGCAGCATGGAGCCAAAGTTGATGCTGCTGATCTTGTTGGGCGACTCGGGCGTGCCGGACACCAGAAGGGAGCCCTGCATGTACTCGATGTCGCCAAAGCTGAGGGCCATGAGGGCATGCATGCTGGCTGTGATGGTGACATCACCGGTCAGCACGCCAGAGCGGATGCTGAAGCTGGTCGTGCCCACCCCATAAACCTTGCCCCCAACCTCTGACAATCGCCCAACGTGGAAGGACTGCAGCGGCAGGCCGCGCAAGTCGACGTCGCCGCCAACGGCAGTCAGCGTGTCAAGCTGCACAGATGCGGGACGCGTGCCCACAACGCGCAAGCTGCCATTAACACGCTGCAAGCTGTCGAATAGCAGCTCCGTTGTGTCCGCCCCAACATCCACGTGCACGTTGCCTGCCATGTCTTGAAGCTGAGCGCGGGAAAGCGTGAAGAAATCAAGGAAGACGGTGCCGTTGGGGGCAAGCGCCTGGCCGAGCACGAGTTGCGTCAGGTTGGCGTTGCCGCGCACGTCAATCACGTCAAACGCACCCGTGATGTCAGCCAGATCCAGCACCTCCAGCGCACACGACGAGAGGTTGAGTGCTGTTGGCGTGCCCTGCGCGTTGTTGAGGGTGAAGGAGGCGCAGCCGAGATCAACGGCCCTGGGCACGTTATCCCCAGCATGGGAGACGCGTAGGTGCTTGATGGGGTTGCCTGACAGGCGAGCGCCACCAGCAGAGGGTGGAAGCTGACCGACATCGATGGAGGTGAGGGCGTTGTTTTCCAAATCAACGCTGTCGCCCACGAAGACGAGCTGCCCAAAGCGCACGCGGGTGATGGCGTTGTCGCGAAGGCTGATAAATCCGCCCAACAGGGTGACTTGACCCAAGTCTACCTCTGTCAGCGCGCCATTGGCAGCTGTGATACCACCACCTATGCTCGTCAGGTGTGGGCCGAGATCAAGCGTTTGTGCGAGAGGCGACACTGAGATGGAGCCAGTGACACTGCGCAGGCGGTAAAACTCGTCGCAGCAGCACGAGGTGACAGCAGCAACCTCACAGGGCGCGGCTGCTGCAATGGCTTGACGCGATGTTATGCTGCTGCAGTCGAGCACATCAGTGCTGATGCCAGAGCAGAGCTGTGTCGTTGTTGTCGTTGTGGTTGCGGTAGTTGACAGACCTGACTGTGCCGTGCTGGTGGTAGTCGGCAATGTGGTGGTGGGCGCGGTGGTGCTGTTTGATTTGGACTTGCTGGTGGCAGCGGGCCCAGTTGAGGTGATGGCAATGGGAACAGCGACGGCAGCAGCCACAATTAACGCAACGACGATGCCGACGAGGAGCAGACGCTTGCTCGATCTGCCCTTTGACACGGCCACCTGCTCCGTCGTGGTCTCTGAGCCCAGGGCCGTGAAGTCCTTGTGCAGGGGCCGCATCATCAGGTGCTGGCCCTCCTTGCCTTGTCTGTGTCCCAGCGCAGAGAGCAGCTGCGCATCGTCCGTCGAGGCTTCGCCGTACACGGAGAAGTCGCCCAACCCGACCTGGTCGTACGTCTCCTCTTGATGGACTCCTCTACTTACGGGCGTCAAATATGTTCGGCCCGCAGCACCAGTGGTGGTGTCTGTGGTGGTCGATGGGGTGGCATCAGCTGTGCCATACACTTGAAAGTTTCCCGGGTCAGGCGTATCGTACGCGGGCTTGTCTTCTTTGCTGCTGGGGTTGGTCGCTGTGGTGGTGGTGGCTGTACCGGGTTTCTGCTGCTGTGTGGACTCTGTGCCGTACACATCAAAGTCGCCCAAGCCCGCGGTTTCGTAGGTGTTGTCGGCTTCCACGTTGGTGGCCGCAGTCACTTCCAAGTAGTCACCGCTGCTGTTGCCGTTGCTGTCATCGGGGTCGGCCGTGTTGCTGTTGCTGCTGCTGCTGCTGCTGTGGGCCGCAGTGCCTATGATCGCGCTGGTGTTTGTGTTCGTGTTGGTGGTCGCGCCAGCAGCGGCAGGGTTTGGTCGCACGGCCTCATACGTGGCGTTGAACAAGTCTCTTTGCTCAAATGTGTCAGCAGGCTCCAAGTATGTGCGCTGCGAGGCAGGTACCTGAACCGTGTGTGTGTGAGTGTGTGAGTGTGTGAGTGAGTGTGTGAGTGAGTGTGTGAGTGAGTGAGTGAGTGAGTGTGTGAGTGAGTGTTTGTGTGTGTGTGTGAATGAGTGTGAATGAGTGCGAGTGAGTGAGTGTGAGTGAGTGTGTGTGTGTGTGAGTGAGTGTGAGTGAGTGAGTGTGTGTGACAGTGTTTGTGACGTGCCTGCAGGCAAGAACCGAATGACAACAGCAAGTAGACCACTGACCGGCTGCTCCTGCTGTTGTCGTTGCTGCTGCTGCTGCTGTAGCGGTGCCTGCCATCCAAATTGCCGGCTGCTGTTGGCAGGCACAATCGCCTGGTTGAAGAGACATGAGTTAGAAGTAAGCGTATGTGAGTATGCGAGCCTTGTTTTGTGTGTGTGTGTGTGTGTGTGTGCAGGAAAGAAATGATCGCCGAACACTGCGTATGTGAGACGAATGCCAATACGCACCATATGTACTTGTTCACACACACATACACACACACACACACACACCTGCAGCTTTGAGATGATGGCGTCGATGAGCTGCGAGGGAATGGCTGTTGTTGGGCTTGGCAAGGTGTAATGTGCACGCGCGTCTGGGAGGCGCTTGCGCACATCCCGCGAGGCGAACTTGTCACACATCTTGATGAGAAAGAAGGGCTTGTTGTGTTTGAGGATGGAACGCAGCTGGGCAGCGGAGCTGGCCTTGTTTCGCGACCGCTTGCCGTAGTCCTTCGTGCCCATGATCACTGCCAGCGTGCATGCAAGCACGGCTGCCGTAGCACTGGATTTGCCACCTCTGCCGTCATCGTCTCCTGGTGAGAACACGCGCACCCCACGCTGCTCCAATGCAGCCCTCAGTGTTCTCGTGACATCCCCATTCTCATGGCAGGAAAGGAACACATCACAACCAGCAGTGGAGGCCATGACCTTGTGCTGTGCTGTGCTTTGGTGTGATGTGCTTTGGTGTGTTGGGTGGGGGGCGTTATGGAAATGCAGGAGGAGCACGGTTGGTGTGTTTGTTTGTTTTGCTGTTTGGCTGGAAAACCAAAGGAAAACATCCACAAAGATTCGCAGCATAGCACAACAGGCAACAACATATGGCGCCATTTGACGAACAACAACACAGCAGCACGACGCAAGCACACGCAGCGCTTGGTCCTCCCTCCACACCTTCCATTGCACGGCAGGGCATGAGACTTGCTGCGTCCCTGATGGGAAATGCATGAGTTCGTTTATGCTTCGCTTTCAAAAGCACCAAAGAAAAAAAAAAAAGGAAAGGCTCCAGACGGCGACACCTGCGCCAAGCAAAATGTAGAAAGACAAACGCTGTTGAAGCTGTTGCACAACACCACACGCATGCACAGGTACACACACACACACACACGCGCGCGCGCGCGCGCACACACACACACACAAATGCAGCACACACACACACACACATGCAGCAGCACACACGCGCGCACATGCACGCACGCACACACGCACACACACGCACACACAAAAACGAGCAACAATCATCGCCTCCTGGGCGAATCAAAGGAGATGGTGTGAACGGGAAGAGACATGAGCGGCTGTACGCGGGGAACATGCGCACAGGTGGACGCCGCACGACGAAGCAAAGGCGACGCAAGCGGGGGCGCCTGTGGTCGCTGCTGCTGCTGCTGCTGATGGTGGTTGCGCGGGGTGTGGCGAGCGTTCTCCTGGTGGTGCTGATACGGCAGCGCCATCATGCGCCGTGTCAGCCCACGCGCTGCAGAGACGCCAGTGGCGGGTGCTTCCTTTGCTGCTGGCGTGCTTGTCGTCGTCGTCGTCGTCGTCATGGAGCGATAGCGGCAAGGAACGGGCGAGCCAACTGCAGGCACATGTTGTTGTTGTTGCTGTCGCTGCTGCTGCTGCTGTTGGTGGTGTTCTTGTTGTTGGTGTTGGTTGTGGTGGTGTTGGTTGTGGTGGTGGTGCTGTGGCCCGTCTGCGCCTTGTGCGTCCACTGCTGCGTCGTCCACAGGTGTGGAATCACACCAACGCGCAGCCTCATTAATGTCATGCTTCGCATACAAACACAGCAGCAAGTGCTTGGTCAGAAACACCAGCCGCGAGCACAGGTGTTTCTCTTCCTCGGTTGGACTCACAATTGCCATCAGCGGCTCAATCGCCTGCCAGGACGAGCTGGGCAGCGTGAAGCAGTTCCACAGCCCTTGGCCGTGGCTGAACGACAGCCGGTCAAACACGCGCGCAACCACACGTGCCGCCCGCGGACTAAGGCCCTTTCTGTGTCCACCGCCACCACCGCCACTACCACCACTACCGGCACGGTCCATGGCTGTCGATGCCGGTGCTGTGGAGGCGAGGAGCGACGCTGCCGTGCTCATGACGCGTTGCCGGCACGACACCAGGATGCGGTGGCGATCTGCAGGCGACAGCGTGCGCAGCCAGTACTTTGCAATGCGCGCCCGGTGCTGCACAAACGTTTCCTCAATGTCAGTCGCGTGCTCCACCACCTCCTCATCAAACTCGTCAATGCCAATGGTGGCTGCGCCGTTCAGCAGCAGGTGGTGCAGGAAGAGCACCAGGCCCTGGTCGCGTTTGCGCTGCTCCTCTGCCCGGCCAAGCGATAAACCACGCTGCGCGGGCACACGCGGGTGACGACGCAAGGACGCCAGCGACGAAGCCGATCGCGACGTCACAAGGCTGCCGCCATCAGACGCGGTGGTGCCTGCAGGCAACGTGGGCGCACGTGTGCGTAGCGACCTTGCAGAGGATGAAGCAGACACCATTGCCGCTGATGTTGACGACGCAGAGGCACCAACGCCGGCTGTGGTGCCCGTGGAGCGCTGTCGTGTGGATAATGACGATGATGATGACGACGATGACGTGGGCAGCTGATGGTTCGATTGGCGCACGCGCGTACCCACGGACGTCTGCACCACACCAAGGGCCTTGGACATGAGGGCCTCATACTGCAGCAACAGCCCTTCGTTCTCTGGCGGGAAGATGCGATGGTAGTCACCGCTGTGCTCGTCCTCGTACGCCATCTGCTTCTGCGCCTCCCGATCCTGCATACTGCCACCATCGCCATCAACGCTTACGCCATCATCATCACAGTTATCATCATTGGTGTCGTCATCATCCTCCTCATCCTCATCCTCATCATTCTCGTTCTCATTATCATCCTCATCCTCATCGTCGTCGTCGTCATCATCATCATCATCACGATCATCTTTGGTTTCGGCGGTGCTATTGTGGTCGTCTCGACCATCACCTACTCGCTGCTTTTCCTCCCCTTTGTGAACATCATCAGTGTCGTCGTTGTCAGCGTCAGCATCACTGCCACCGCCTCCTCTTCCCCTGCCGGTTGCTGCTGCCGCTGCCGCTGCCGCTGCCGCGGATCCGCGGCATTTCGTTGCGTGCATGCGTGTGTGCGTGTGCGAGTACCAGTGGTGGCCGCGGCGGCGCGGTAGTGGCTCTGCTTCGCTCACTTCGCCGCTCCCATCGTCACAGTGCAGAAGTCGGTTTGCCCTCGCAATCGCAGCTGCAGCAACGCCATCACCGTTTGGCGCTGCTTTCGCTTTCGAAGAAGATGCTGTGGCGCGTGCATTTCCAGCACGATTGCCGTTGCTGATGCTCTTGTTGCTGTTGCTGTTGTTGTTGCTGTTGCTGTTCTTGCTGCCGCTGGTGCCGCTGGTGGTGGTGGACGTGCTTGATGGTGTTTGCTTGTGCAAGCGCCTGAGTGCCGATGCCTTTGCCTCTGCCTGCCACGCCTTGCGCTCCTGCGGACGAATGTGCATCATGCGCAGCGCGGACTGCAGCACGCCGTGTTTGATGCGGGCGTCGAGCTGCGAGTCGCACGTGAAGCTTGGCGCGCGGTTGACCTCGATAATGTACGGCTTGAGCTTCGATGTGAGCAGCACGTCAAACCCGAGCACCTCGAAGCACATGCTCTGGCGCGGGGGTGCGCGGCCGCCCCTGTTGCGCCCGCGGTGCAGCTGGCACGCCGCATATCCCTGGCGCACAAACGGCAGCGCCACAATGACCGTCTTGATGATGACGTCTGCGATGCGCTTCTGCAGCCGGTCTGTGTCGACACCGTGCTCATCCGCAAGGTGCTTGAGCAGCCACTGGTATGTGCGCTTGCTGCCCGTGTCGTCGTCGTCGGTCTGCTGGAAGTTCTCTGCGCCCTTGTTGAGCGAGTAGTTTGTGAGGTGCATGGTGACGTCGGCCACGTTCTTCTTCGTGGGCGCCTTGTACGGGGTGGTGGAGAGGCGCACGAGCCCGTCCTTGAAGAGATACACGCGCAGCGGGTCGCACGATGTCAGCAGCACATACAGGCGCAGGTCAAACTTGTACCCGTCCACCAAGAACGGCTTTGGGAGGTACTCCTGCACGAGCAGGGAGTCCTGCGTGGGGATCTGTGACGGGTTCTGCGTGACTGCAATGCCAATGCCGCGAGCGCCGTTGATGGGTTTGTAGATGAAGGTGGGCTTCTTCTTTGCCTTTGCCTTCTTACAGTCGTCGACGTACTTGCGGAAGTGCTGCAGATCGGCCGGCAGGACCCAGGAGCGCGGGAAGATGTCGAGCACGTTGCCATTGCACACGCGCAGGAGGCGGTTGAGGTTTCGTGCCAGGTTGTCCTTGCGCGTGATCTGGCCCGTGCCTGGGAAGTGGTTCATGCGCTGATAAGGAAGCAGCTTGGTGAACACCTCGCCCGGTGGACAGCAGTCAAACCACAGCAGGTTGCAGTCCATCGTGGTCGGGGACGTCTTGATCTTGAAGCCCAGTTCACGGCACACTTGCCGGACCATGTCGTAGTTGGTGTTGGCAAGGTTGGCTGTCAACTTATTCGCCTTGCCCTTTGCCTTGGCTTTTCCCTTGGCGTTGCTCGTTCGCTTCTTCTTGCCGCCACCTCCTGCTTTGGTTGTGGTTGTGGTGGCGGTGGTGCTGCTGTTGCCGGTGCTGTTGCCGGTGGTGGTGGTTGTGGCGGCACCTGTGTTGGCACCTGTGTTGGCACCTGTGTTGGCACCTGTGTTGGCACCTGTGTTGGCACCTGTGTTGGTGTTGTTGGAGCCATGTTTCTTTGACGATGAGGCTGCTCCACCGCTGGCCGCATCTCCTTCTCCTCTTGCCATCTCAGATGATGATGATGATGCGTGTGGGCGACATGAAGCTCTCTCTCGAAGAAGAAGAAGAAGAAGAAGCGGCGCAAGAAGAAGGTGGTGTGGAAGGTGTGAGGGTGGTGGCTGTCTTGCTGTGCTTCCTCTCTTTCGGTGGTTTGTTTACATGGAGTCAAGGGTCGAAAAATGGTAATAACACCAGCATATTTTCCGAACTTCGCGCAACCCAACGCAACGTGGGTTCGTCAGCGACAACGCGCGACAGCACAGCACAAGCAGCATGTTGGGTGGTGGTGGTGTTGGGTTGAGGCGGGCTGTGGTCATGTTGGTGGGAGGTGGCGGAGCAGTGGCCACCGCAAGCCTGGCAGTCAACCCTTCTTTCTCTATTTCTTCCTCTTCTCCTTCTTCCCCTCCTGCTGCTTCTTCTTCTTCTTCTTCTTCTTCGTCTTCTTCTTCCTCGGTGCTGTCTTCGTGGTGGTCGTCTTTCCCAAACAAAGTCAGCTGCGAAGAGGCGGTCGCCAGCAACTGCAACACACCAGCGTCACCAGCGCAGGCATCATCGAGCGGGCTCGTGCTGTACCAGTACGCGCCATGCCCGTTTTGCAACAAGGTGCGGGTGTTTATGGACTACCATCGCATCCCGTATGCAAAGGTGGAAGTGGAACCGCTGCGAAAGAAGCAGCTCAACTTCACAGACTACAAGAAGGTCCCCGTGCTGCTTGCTGACGGGACGCAGATCAACGACTCCGCAGTCATCCTGGCTCAGCTGACCGAGCGCGTGAAGGCCAGCGGGAGCCCACACTACCGTGATACAACTGAGGAGGAGCAGCGCTGGATCAAGTGGGTGGATGACCGGCTCGTCCATCTCCTCCCCTCCAACATTTACCGCACCATGTCGGAGAGCCTGCAGTCGTTTGACTACCTCCTCAACGCGTCCTTTCAGTTCACGCCAACCGAGCGCACCATGGCCAGGTACTCTGGCGCAGTGATCATGTACCTGCTGTGCAAGCTCAAGCTCAACAAGAAGTACGGCATCCAGGACCCACGCCAAGAAATCTACCAAGACGTCGACTCCTTCATCAACGCCCTTGGCGGTGAGCCCTCGTGCTGACCAACACGCTCGACAAGGCGTACTGCTGCTATTGCTGGTGTGGAGAGCTGGTGTAGTCGCGATGTGGGGAAGAAGAAGACCGTGTATGGGTTTGTCAAAGGCTGGCACATACTCACACACATGTGTGAACTGCTTCCTTGGTTTGCGGTTGTTGCTGGTTTGAGCAGAACGTGAGTTTATGAGTGGAACATACAAACCAGGCAGCGCAGACCTCGCCGTGTATGCAGGTGTGCACTTGTCGTGTGTGCGTATGTATGTGTGCGACTGTGTGTGACTGTGTGTGTGTGTGTGTGGCTGCGTGTGTGGCTGTGTGTGTGGCTGTGTGTGTATGACGTGTGTATGTGTATGAGCGTGTGTGTGTGTTTACATTATTGTGTGTATGGGCATGTGTGTGTGTGTTTAAATTAATTTGTGTATGTATGAGCGTGTGTGTGTGTTTACATTATTGTGTGTATGTGTGTGTGTGTTTACATTAATGTGTGTATGACTGTGTGCGTGCGTTGAATGTGTGTGTTTGAATGTGTTTCCTGTCGTGTTACCTTCTGCCTATGCGATGCGCAAGTGTGTGTCGCGGACGGCCCTGTTCCTCTTGCACCACTCATGTCATCTTTGGACACCGCCGTCGTCATGGTTTTGCTGTTCGTTGCAGCCATCAACAGTCTGGAGGGCCTGGAGAGCTTTGATGATGTCATGAAGAACACGCAGGCGGCAACGTGGTACCAGCGAACAAAGGCTGCCGTCGGCCTGTCCACGGGCCATTATGCAACAGATGAAGAGGCAGCAGGGCTCCCACACATGCAGCCCACGCCCTGAGCCGTGTGTGTGTGTGTGAGTGTGTGAGTGTGTGAGTGTGTGTGCGTGTGTATGCGTGTGTGCGTGCGTGTTTGCATGTGCGTGAGTGCAAACGTTGTTATTTCAGGTGATAGGTGTTGTGCGGCGTAGTTGTGACAATACAACAGACCAGGCTGCAAACAGACAACAGACAATACATGTTTTCATCCTATCTTGAACGGTCAGTGTTCACCTCTTACGCCGTGTTGTGTATTCAGCGTCCACCACATGACGATTCCCTAGCGTATGTTTTATTCGAAACTGAGCACACGCGGTGCCAACAAACCCAAGCCTGAGAAAGCACCAATCATCCCACCTTGACGAAGCACAATGCACATTGCACACTTAGTTGTTGTTGTTGTTGTTGTTGTTGTTGTTGTTGTTGTTGTTGTTGTTGTTGTTGTTGTTGTTGTTGTTGTCTTGGCTGCCCAGCAGCTGCTGCAGATCAAGGAAGGCCGACGGTGGTCCAATCTTGCGCACATGGCCTGACACCGAGAACAAGAGACAGACAGTGACAGGGACAGCCAGGGAGACAGTGACAAACAGAGAACGTGTGTGTGTGTGTGTGTGTGTGTGTGTGTGTGTGTGTGTGTGTGTGTGTGTGTGTGTGTGTGTGTGTGTGTGTGTGTCAGAGTTGAGAAGAGATGCATGGCTGACTTGCTAACAGCATGAACAACTTGTCAACGGCGGTTCAACCTCTGTGAAAACCACTTCCCCGCCCCTCGCACACACACACACACACATGCGTACAAACACGCACTCCACTATCCCACCACAGCAAACAACCCCACGGGCCCCGCCCCACTCATCCTCAACTCTCGGTTGCGTACGGACCTCCATCGAGCTCAATGATCATGTCTGCATCGCGAATCGTCTGCAGGCGGTGAGCAATCACAATCAGCGTGCACTCCTTGAAGCTCGCATGGTTGCGCAGCGTGCTGGCCCAATGGCAAGTGGAGTGTGTATGCATGTGTGTGCATGTGTGTGCATGTGTGAGGTCACAAATGAGCATTGGCGCGTGTAGAAGCAAAGCTGGCTGACAACCACAAGATCGCATACGCACACATGCACACGCATGCGCGCAGCTGGTCTTACTCTTGGATGAGGGCGTCTGTGTTGTAGTCAACGTTTGCCGTGGCCTCATCCAGAACAACAACACGGGAGCGACGAAGTACAGCGCGCGCCATCGACAGCAGCTGCTTCTGCCCAACACTAAAGTTGCCTCCGCCTTCTTGCACCTGTGTCGTGTTGAAGGATGGTCATACGGAGAGACAGATTGCGGGACACAGATGAGGAATCACATATGATCAGCCATTGCGAGTTGGGTGCACTTGACGATCCTCGACCATCATCCATCAACCCACGCACAGAGAGAGAGATGGAAAGATGGAGAGATGGAGAGACAAGAGGCGAGGTGTGGGGAGAAACAAATGCATGCACGAGCGCACACACAAACACATACACACATGCACACATACAAACACATACACACACGCACACATACACACACGCACACATACACACGCGCGCGCATGCACGCGGTCGGGCATTAGCGGACCTGCATGTCAATATCGAGGGAATTGAGCTGCACGGCAGCGAGGGCGGCGCGAATGTCATCGGTTGAGTGCTGCGAAAAGGGATCGAGGTTGAAGCGCAGCGACCCGCTGAACAGATTCGGCTCCTGTGGAATCAGGCTCAACCCACCACGCAGTGTCTGGCGATGGTGGCGATGGTGGGTGGTAATGGTGGGTGATGGTGGGTGGTAAATGGTGGTGATGATGGTGGTAATGGTGGGTGATGATGGTGGTAATGGTGGTGATGATGGTGGTAAATGGTGGTGATGGTGGTGGGGTAAGTACCGGGATGGAGTTGCGGCATGAATGCGCAGAGATGTGCGCGAACACACGAGATGTCTTGGTCTACACCACAGGAGGGATTACCGTTCGGGCGACTTGCAGAGTGTCGATGTTGTCAATTTCAAGGTGCCCGCCACTAATCACGCCAAGGCCAAACAGCGTCTGATGGTGGTGGTGACTGTGAGAACAGCAAAACAACGCACACACATGCCCACACATGAAAACACACACACATAAACAAACACACACGCACGCACACACATGAACACACATGAAAACACACACACACACACATAAACAAACACACACGCACGCACACACACGCGTGGTCAGCAAAGATGTGCCACACCACGCCATGACAGCAGCGCACCTGTGCCAGGGAACTCTTCCCGCTACCGGTGCGTCCAATCAGTCCAACCTGCAACGAGGAAACATGGGGCGGAAGAAGATGGTCATGTCATGATTGTACATACACGCACGCACGCACACACACGCACACACACACACACATACACACACACACACACACACACACACACGCACGCACGCAGGGCAGCTCACCTTTGACCCGGCGGGGATGTGGAAGGTGAGGTTGTGGAGCACGTCGGGCATGGTGTCGCGATAGCGCATGCACAGCGCCTTTGCTGTGATGTCGCCGTTGACAGGCCACGCTGCTGGTGCCAGCGGGGCGGGTGGTGGCGGATCTGCTGGGGCAACGCGGGCAATTGTATCTTCTTCTTGCGGAATGTCGGAGATGTAATGATGCAAGCGCTCCACGCTCGTCATGAACGTCTCCACCTGCGCAGACAACCGGACCTGTTATCCACACACACACACGGGTGGCGAGAACATGTGAGAACAACCAAAGCAAGGAGGCACACTGCAATGTGAGGTGTTGCAAACACGGGAATGCTTGTGGCAAGAGCGACAGTGCGGAACCAAGATAGTGCACGCAAACCTGGAAATCGTACAATAACATGACAACAGTGCCACAACACCACAACAGCGCCACAATCACATGTGTACCCGCACCATGTACTGGAACACGCCGCTGAGGGAGAGCGTGTACACGAGAGCCAGGCCAAGCAGGCCGGCCTCAATGTGGCCCTTGAGCGCAACGCCGAGGATGCTTGTGGCGCCAACAACGGTCGTGCTCAGAAGATCAAGCCGGAAGCCAAGCCACCGGTTCACTGCCAAGACAACCAGAAGCGGAAGTTGAGGTGAAGTGACACGATGAGGAGGTGGTGTGGTGTGATGAGGGGATTTGCAGTTGTGATTGGAGCATGAACGTAGAGGCAGCAGAAACATGGGACCACGTTCAGGCAAGTTGCCGAGACGTCGCTGACTGACCAATGAGCCACCAGAACCAGGCGTTTGAGTTTGTTTTGAGCAGACGAAGAAAAGCGGCGTGCACATCGCGCTGCTTCTGGAATACGCGAATGCACGTCAGCCCGGCAAGGGACGCCGAAAACGCAGCATACACCGGCGAGCGGCTGCAGTGTGTGTGTGTGTGCGTGAGTGTGTGCGAGAGAGAGTGTGTGTGTGTGTGTGTGTGCGAGAGAGTGTGTGTGAGTGTGTGTGAGTGTGTTTGTGCGAGTGTCAATGAGGTTACAGCTGGGAGTGGGTGATTAGGTGCGCAAAGCAGCTGTTCGTGCCTTAAACAAGCGAAGCAAACCCAACCAAACCACGCAACCGGCACGCACAACGCAAACCGCAGACACGATGCGTTGCTCACTGCACCTTGTACCGTCGAGGCGTTTGAGGTCCCGGAGCGGACGGGCGGCGCGCTGGCGGATCCTGGCAAGGAGATAGAAGAGGGGAAGCACGCCAATGGCAATCCAGGGAACAGCAACACACGCTGCAGCATGCATGGTTGAGGGTTGAGGATTGAGGATTGAGAGGGACGAAGGGTCGAAGAAGGGAAGCAGGTGAGATTTGGAAAGGTTGATCGATACGATGGCCTGAGTCATGCAGCAGTATTGAGGCAATGGTTTGCATCATGCTCGGCAGATGCATGCATGAATGCGTGTGAAGTAGACACGCACCGAACACGAGCGAGCCCAAGCACACGGCAAGCAGTTGCAGCATGTTGAAGGCGAATGGCGGCAGCATCTCGTCCACTTGGCCCAGATCTACATGTGTGTGTGTGCAGATGTGTGCAGATGTGTGCAGATGTGTGCAGATGTGTGCAGATGTGTGGGTGTGTGCAGATGTGTATGTGCAGATGTGTGTGCGCGCGCGTTTGCGTGCTGATGAGTGAGGATGATAGAACAAGCCTCACAACACATCTTCGACGGCACAAGACACAACACCACTACAAGCACCACCAATTCCATCATTGCCATCACCGCCACGACCCCTATCACCGTGGCACCTGATGCGAATCTGTTGAGGATGCGGCCGAGCGGATTTGCGGAGAAGAAGCCCAGCGGAGCGTTGAGGACGGAGGCCAGCGCCCGGTGGTGTAGCGTGCTGTTGGACCGCGTCGCAGCCACGAAGAACAGAATCGAGCCTGAGACACAACACACAAAGGCAGCGAGTGTGTGCGTGTGTGCGTGTGTGTTTGTATGCGAGTGTTTGTGTGTGCGAGTGTTTGTGTGTGCGTGTGAGTGTGTGTGTGTGTGCGTGCGTGTGTGTGTGCGAATGTGTGTGGAGGCAGGTCCTGCTGCCGAATGAACCACGTGTGTATGAAAAACAAAAAAGGGGTTGAGGCAACAGACCGAGAAGAGAAAAGGCGGTGGTGGAGATGCCAAGCCCAACATATGTGTGCACGTTTGTTGCATCCTGCTGATCTGCTTCGTCCTGTCGTGCCCACCGCTGCAGCCAGAAGTCGGTCACCATCAGCAAACCCTGCGACACTGCGCCGGCCCGCACGCACAATTGATAAGTTCGCAAGCAAGATGGAGTGACATGAACTCATGTCAGCACACAACCAACACACGCTCGCTCACAATCCGCTAACAGCACAGCGCGGGAAGAACCAGAACCAGCAACACGCCCACCATGCACGTGAGTGGAAATGCCCCCAAACCACGACACAAGCCACAGCACAGTATCCCCAACACCAACACCAGCACCTCAACCCCAGTGCCTGCTGTGATAAAAACGCACGGAAGAAGTTTGCGAGGACGAAGACAGCGAGAAAAGCGCCTGCCGATTTCATGTACAGCCAATACGTTCTGGCCGACACCACGCCCACGCCACGCTCCTCCTCCATCACTGCAGCAGATGTAGATGTAAACGCGTTCATGTATGTGTGTGTGCATGTGCATGTGCATGTGCGTGTTTGTGGACAGGCGTGCGTGCGTGTTTGAGTGCATACGCATACATGCGTGTGAGGTTGCGATGTTAAGTGAGGAGTCCCTCAACCCACAACACCACAATAGGTTGTTGTAAAACAGCCACCACACGAACCATGACGTACCGAGCTTTGACGTGCGCCGTTCCTTCTTTGGTTCATCATCACCACCATCAGTATCACCACCAGCCTTGCCCCCAACAGCAGTCTTGCTTGCGTCCCTGTCCTTCGCGTGCTTTCCTTCGTCGTCCACGTTCTCCTTCTTTCGAGTGGCCAGCACCCCATCGCCGCTGTTGGCGCTTGTCATGCGGGCAAATTCGTCTGCACTCACGCGCCGAACGCGGCCGCCGTCAACAGCATACACCACGTCTGCCTGCGCCGCAAAGTGCGGGTGGTGCGTCACCAGCACGACAATGCGTGTCTTGCTCATGGGGGCGATGGCGCGCGTGAACAGGTGCTCGGCGACGTCGGGATCGACCGCCGCCAGCGGGTCGTCAAGCAGCACCACCCCCGCATCCGAGTACATACAGCGAGCCAGACCAACACGCGCCTTCTGCCCGCCAGAGAGGTTCACGCCCTTCTCGCCAATCTCCGTGTCCTCACCCGCGGGGAGCAGCTCAATGTCGCGCTCGAGGGCACACGCGGCGATGGCGGCCGTGTACCGCTTCGTGTCCATGGCCCGCGTGAACAGCACGTTCGAGCGCAGGGTGCCCGAGAAGATCCACGGCTGCTGTGGGGCGTACGCCATACCGCCAGCGGTTGTTGGCGGCGGAGCAGTTAGCGCCTCCCCAGCAAGCGCAGCGAGAAGCGTGGACTTGCCCGCACCAACAGCGCCCGTGATGGCGATGAGCTGCGGCCGGTCGGCCCTGATGGTCACGCCGCCAAGTTCAAACGTGCTGCTGGGATCGTCCCACCAGATGCGCGCATTCTCCAGCAGCAGCAGCGGTGGTGACGGCGAAGACGACGATGATGCCAACGCTGCTGTTGTTGCCGCTGTTGTTGCCGCTGTTGTTGCCGCTGTTGCTGTTGCTGCTGCTGCTGCTGTTGTTGCTGTTGTTGCTGCTGCTGCTGCATTTGTTGAAGTTTTTTCTGCTGTGGTGGTCATCGTGTTATACTCAGAGCGAGCGGTCCCGTTCGCCTTTCCGGCATTCGTACCCTGCTCCTGTCGCGATGACGATGAAGAAGGCGGTGATGTTGGGAGGGCCTTCAGCTCTGCGAGTTGGAGGAACTCCTGCAGGCGGCGCAGTGCAATAATCGCCTCTGGTCCGCTCTCCATTGTTCTGGTGGTGGTGGTGGTGATGGTGGTGGTGGGTCGGTAAGCCATTGGCACAATGCACATGCAACACGCAAACTGTAGAGGGTGGGTGGGGTGGGTGGGTATGTGTGCAGCTGGTGGAATGACGCACAACAACCGCGCTGGCAGAGACCATGCGTGTGCACTCTCGGTACCTTGAGAACTTCTTGCCGAGCCCCAAGCGAAGCACTTGTAGCAGCGACAGCACAAATAGAACACTCGGCAGCTCCAGCGGCTCGTCACGCACCCACATCACGGAGAATGTCACTGCATGCCCAGCACAACGCGGGCGTGCGAGTATGAGTAAACGGGTGTGGGTGCAAACAGGAGAGTGTGTGTGTTATGCTGGCCTACCTCTCGGCAGCAGGCTCCACTATGCTCACACGCACACACACGCGCGCGCACACACACGCGTATACACACGCACATGCATACACACACGCAACACTCTCTACCAAGTGCAGCGAGAGCTGGAGCGGAGAAGTACATGCTGGCGTTGGCAGCCTTCATGTACTGTGAGGCAAGAATCGTCTTGGCCTCGCGATTGCGCAGTTCATCTGTCAGCGCACGTACACACACACACGCACACGCAAAAATGCACACACACACATACGCATGCACACACGCGCATCGTGAGCGCACATGTATGTGGCACGAGCCGTTGCCAGCACACATATTCCCACACACGCGCATGTGCACACAAGGACGCACACACACGCACACACATGTACACATTGTACAACGCACTGATTTTTTGACTGAATGGCATTTCCCATGCGTACGCCTTGACGGAGAGCATCGCAGAGAGAACCTCGCTGCACATGGTGGCGGTGGTGACAAGGGTGGCCGGCGTGGTGGTGGTTGTGACTAGGTGCGATCGGACAAACACACAAACACACACACACACACACACACACACACACACACACACACACACACACACACACACACACACACACACACACACACACACACACACACACGCACGCACATAGATGATGCATACAGTAGTTGTGGGGAGCTTACGATGTGAGGCGAACGCGCTTGTCTGTGCGCATGGCGGTTCGCTTGCGTAGGCGAGCAAACACTTGGCCAAACCAGATCATCAGGCCCATGGACAAGATGAGCACGCCAATGCCGGCAAACCCAGGCACCACGCCAACCTGCTCCCCGCCAAGCATTGTGCATGAGTGGTGAAGGAGGCCGTATGATGGCGGTCGTGGTGGTCGCCGTTGTCGCGGTCGTGAAGTGATGTGCAGTAGCATCCACACAGTCCCACTGGACACTTTACACAACACACAAGACACACAAGACACACACAAGACACACACAAGCCACACACAAGACACACACAAGACACACACAAGACACACACACAAGACACACACACACACAAGACACACACACACATACAGTGTGTGCACGCGCCCAGTGGCCGCACCTGGTTGATGATGAGGACGGTGCAGACGATGACTTCGAGCGGGCTGGTCCAGATAAAGTGGAGGCTCGGGAGATAAGTGTCGAAACGTAACACGTCAGTGGAGATGAGGTTGACTGCCTTGCCAGGGGAGAACGCGGCTACGGTGCTGGTGCTGAGGCTCAACAGCTTCTTGTGCACGAGCCCAATGAAGCCAATGCGAAGGTTCCAGCCCATGCGCATGGTGTAGAAGTACAGGAAGTGGTGCACGACGGCCTGGAAGATGGAGAAGAGCACAAGCCCAATCGCCAGCCCAAACCCTGTGCCGTAGTCCTTGGCATCCTCATCCTGGATCCACGCTACGAGCAAGCGCAGGAGAATGGGCTGCACAATGTACGCCAGGCTCTCTCCCACAGCGAGGAAGCCGGATATGATGATCTCCGTCAAGTGTGCACGAGCAGCGGCGCGCATCAGACTGGGACGGCCCTTGCCGCCGCCAGCGCCTTGCTTCCTCTGCTTTTCCTCATTCCACGCCTTCTCGAGCCGGCCCACGGTGTAGTCGATGTTATCGTGCTTGGCCAGCGGTGGCAGGTGCTTCAGGTTCACGGGTCCCTTTGCAGCGATGTCGATGAGCGGTTTGCCGTACGTGTACGCTGTTCGGCCCCACCAGGATGCTAAGTCTGCAGGCGAAGGTCCCTCCGTCTCATAGCACTCGTCCTCTGTCAAGATGTAGCGACCTTCCTTTCCCTCATCTTCTCGCTCATACGTGCCTCTCTTCTGTGTGTTCCCCTGCTTTGCGTGTGCTGCTTGCTGCTGCTCTGTGTGTTCGGAGTACTGCCGTGTCGCATCAGCACTGACGGCAGCTGCATGGTGTGCATTCGGCGCTGCAGCGTGCTGCTGTGTGTTCCGAACAGCGTTCACATAGCTGCTTGTGCGAGCATCGACGGTGCCGGCCTCTCCAACACCTTCACCAACAGTCTGCAGCTGCTGCCTCAACAGCGGCGAGCTGTCTTCACCCCCATCATCACTGCGTGTGCTCATCATCATCAATCATGTTATTCCACGTGGGTTTTGTTTGTGTGGGTTGTTTGGTTGTGGCGCAAGAAACTGCGGATCGCGACACCAAAACCCGCAGCCAACGGCGGCGGACTGCAACGGCTGTGTGTGTGGTGTTGGTGGAAGGACAACAACACGGACGCGGCCATGGGGGATGGCAGTGATGACACCATCATGCAGGCGATGCAGGCGATGCAGAGGAAGAGCCTGCGGAGTGAGCACACAGGTCAGGGGCTTAGCAGAAGAGGCGAGAGCACAGGTGATGCACACCAGTCAGCGCAGCACGTCGGTGGGGAACACCGCCACCGCAGTCACTTGCAACACCAGCAGCAGCAGCAGCAACAACGACGCTGCGTGGGCTTGGCGGAGATGGCGGCGCAGCAAGAGCAAGAGCTCAAGGCTGCGCGCGCAGCGCTGGCCCGTGCAGGGCTGCGGTATGAACGCGCCAGACAAGCGCTGGCCACCTGCTCCAGATCGCTGCAGGAGAAGACGGAGGCGCTGGAGACCACGCAACACAGCTTGACCACGGCCAGCACCACCATCAGCGACCTGCGTGTGCAAGTCGCCGAGCTGTCCAAGAACCTGGACATCCAGCGACACCGCGCTGACCAGCTTGATTTCGTCTACAAGCAGCGTATCAAAGCCATGCAGGTGCTGCCATGGTTGTGAGCATGTCAGTGTGGTTGTGGCTCTGTGTATGCGCTCTTGTAGGATTGCGTGTGTGTGTGCTTACGTAGGTGCATATCCATGGCAATGACATTGCAGCTATGTTCGCATGTATCTTGCTGCTGACTCAGTGCTGTCACACACACACACACGCATGCACAAGCTTGCTCACTGACACACACGCACGCACTCTCTGTTAGGAGGAGTTTGATCGGCAGAAGCGGGAACACGACCGCCACTGCCGCGAGCAGCTGCAGACATCGGAGGCTGCACGGCGAGAGCTGCAGGTTGGGTGGTTGATTAGCGCATATGCATTGAGCGTACTTGTTGCTGAGGGGACAGAGAAACGGCACGCGCTTTTAATAGGCGTTAGCTTTTGCTATGACGTCTGCCCATGTGTGTTTTGTGCAGCCCTGGAGCTGCAGTGTAGCTAATCTGTGCGCCTGCGTGGCCAAACCCTCCTCTCTTACGATGGCAGCTCAAAGTGAACGACTTCGAGTGGCGGCTGGAAGCAGAGCGGCGAGACATGAAGCTTGAGTTTGACCAGATCCTCGATCGATCATATGAGGACTTGAAACAGAAGCTCACAGATGCAGAAGACAGCGCTGCCAGCCTGCAAGCAACCGTAAGTGGCTTAAGTGTGTGTGTGTGTGTGCGTGCGTGCGTGCGTGTGTGTGCGTGCGTGTATGGTGATGCATGTGCGAGAAGTGGAAGCGATGAGTGATGAGAAAAAGCGGAGAGTGATGAGAAAGCGGAAGGACAAAGACGGGCACGCGGACACACAGACACACGGGCTGAGAGTGTGTGAACAACGGCTGATGTCACGTCCTGCTTGCTGACCTCTCGTGCTCTGTTTTGCCCTTGTTGGATGACCAGGTGAAGCTCAAAGATCAGGAAGTGAAGCACCTGCAAGAACGTCTCGCAGCCAGCAACGACAAGCAGTGCGTGGCTGCTACAGAGGCGTCTGGCGTGTGCACAGCGCTCACACCTCCCCACTGCACACATGCACGCACATACACACACAGCATGCGCACACACGGTCTCACTTGCAACCACATGCATTGTGCATGCCCATGTCACCCAGGCGGGTGTTGGAGCAGAAGGTGGCAGAGGCAGCAGAGGAGCGCAAGCGAAGCACGTGGCGTGCAGAGGATATGGCCAGGCAGATGGAACAGAGGTGGGTGTACTTGCGTGATTGTTTGTTTGTTTGTGTTTGTTTGTTTTGAGCTGTGTTGTGTTGTGTTCTGTTGGTTGGCTGTGCGTGTGTGTGTGTGTGCGCGTGTGCGTTGCTGTGGGGCTACATTCCCTTTTTAATGCATATGTGGCTTGTGTGAGTGATGTCTTTCCTTTGTAGTCAACATCTGCTGTTGCACTGTGCACACTCTGCCTCCGACACAGAGAAAAGGAGTTTGTGTGGAAAACGCAGCAGCTTGAGGCATCCCACAAGCAGGCGCTGGCTGCTGCAAAGGCCAAATACGACTCCATTCGACAGCAGTTTGACCTGCAGCTCGCTTCCGTCGCCGAGGTGGGCACAACGGTGGTTGCACTGACTTGCTTTGCACGATGGGGTTCGCGCCATGAATGTCACTTTTGTTTTGCTCTCGATGTGCGTCAACGGAACTTACACACACACACACACACACACACACACACATATTGCAGATTAATGTGACACATGAGCGGCAGCTGGAGAAGATGCAAGCGGACATTGATTCCGCCCGCAGCGAGGCAACTGCACTTCGTGGTGTCGTTGAACAGAACACAGCAGAGAAGCAGAGACTCATGTACACATGTGCACTCGCGCGTGTGTGATTCCGCTGGATGGTGCATCTGTAGCTGGGGCGCATGTTGATGCTCTGTGTTGTGTGCGTTGTGTGCGTGTGTGGGGGAAGAACCATACAAGACTGCGAATGTTTGAAGCAGCCTTTTTGTCACGTGCACAACTCACCCGTGTGATGACGTGTTTGTGCATCGTCAGCGCACATCATGAAGCAGAAAAACAGGCCCTGCTCAGCCGCATTGCGTGAGTCGTCGTTGTTGTTGAGGCATCGCGTGACTGGACATATGCATGTGCACACAAACATCACACATGTGTTGATGTGATTGCTACTGCTGTTCATTGCCAGCACTAGACTATCGGTCCTTCCACCCATGCAACCCATCTCTTGTATCCCTTCATCCATGTTTCAGTCGTCTTCAACAGGAGCTGGACGTATCCACAGAGGGAAACACGCAATCCCAAGCGTATGTGCACGCCGTTTTTTTGTTGTTGTTGTTGTTGTTGTTGTTGTTGTTGTTGTTGTTGTTGTTGTTGTTGTTGTTGTTGTTGTTGTTGTTGTTGTTGTTGTTGTTGTTGTTGTTTGTTGTTGTTGTTGTTGTTGTTGTTGTTGTTGTTGTTGTTGTTGTTTCATCGATCTCTCTTTCATGCCAGAAAGCGCAATGTTGCACAGTTTCATGTGGGGATGGCGGTGCAACTTCACACTAACACATCCATTCTCACATCCATGCACACATCCATTGTCACATTCATGCACACACCCACGCGCCCACTCACGCATACACGTCCATACCAACCCCACCCCCCCCCCCCCAATTCACGAACATACGCACCACCGCTGTGCTGTTGTAGGGACCACGAGGCGCATATTGGAGAGTTGCGCAATACCATCGCGCAGCTGGAGACAGACAAGGCCTCGCTTGTGGCGGAGGTGCAGCACTTGTGCGAGGTACGACGCGTGAAGAAGTGTCATGTGCGTGTGCTTGGGTGGACTGTATGTCGCACATGCTTTTTGAAAGCATAGGTGTGTGCAACATGGATGCGGAGCATGCCTTACATTTGGTTCAACACACACGTCTCCTCTGTATCTTACGTCGTTGCCTTCGCTTCGATTTGCTCTCAGGATGTCGAGGGCTTCAAAGCAAAGGAGGATCGCCTGAAGGAGCAACTTGACGCCATCAACACCACGTGGCAGTCCCGTTTCGGTACTGTCGCTTGCGCTCACTTGAAACGAAAGTGGTGCCTTGCACGACGCTGAACATGTCCACACAACCCATACACACCACAACACACACACACACACGTACACACACACGTACACACACACACACACACATATGCACACAAGCTGCCACCCTTAGCCACCTCATCTCATCACACACCCCGTGTCCGTTGCTGTGCATGTGGTCTCAGATGCGCTCAACAGCGCTGATGCGGCGACGCAGAATCACGAGCTGATGGCTGCACGTCGTAAGCTGGAGGAGCTGGCCTCTGAGATTCGTGATCGTGATGAACACATCCACCACTACCGCGCTGTGATTGCCCGTCTCCTTGCCGGCAATGACCCAATCGCAACAGCAGGTGCCTCCACACACACACACACACACACACACACATACGCACACATACTCACTCACATACGCACACACACGCACACACGCGCGCGCATACGCACACACGCACGCGCGCGCCTGGAGGCGTGCATGCTTCGATGTTTGAAGTGGGTTGGTGTGATTGGTGCGCTGCTGCGTTTCTGCCAAGGTACCACTTGTTTGACGTTTCTGATGACATCGTTGGCAGCGCTCACATCGTGTCCAACACGCTCACGCATGCACACATTCACGCGCGCGCACGAATACGCACATACACGCGCACGTACTACCCGCTGCCACTCCTGCAGATGCTGAGAAATTGGTCAGCACATTGGACGCCTCGACGAGCAAAGCAAGCGCGTACAAACCAGCCATCACGCACGCCAGCAATTGGGCGCGTGGCACTGATGGACACGGCACTGGCGGCAGTGGAAATCGCGAAAATGAGAAAGAGGAACTTCGGTCCACCATTGGGCAATTGGAGGCGCGCGTGGAAGCGCTGCGGACGGAACTGGGACAGCACCGCACGCGCGCATTTCAACTCCGTACGCCTCCACCTTTACGTTTGTCTGTGTGTGTGCGCGCGCGTGCGTGCGTGTGTGTGGCTGTCTGTGTTTGTCTGTCTGTGTATGTGTGTGTGTGTGCGCGTGCGTGCGTGTGTATGGCGCAACATTCGAAGGTTGACGTCCCTTGAGTCATGCATTACTGCTGACACTTCTTCATATTGTGTGTCAACACAGAGTCACAGCTTCGCCAGGCAGAGCAAGCGGCCGAGACAAGTGCCGGCGATGCAGAGGCGAACAGGAACACCGTCCATCGTCTGCGACAGTGCGTACAACCAAGTTCAGCACGCTTACTTGCATGCGAACACATCGCATTCCTGCCTTTGTGAACATTACTGAGCCACAATCGCATTTGCGGCAGTCGTGTTTTGCTCCTCTGTTTCGTTGTGACACAAGACTTGCGCTACTGTCCACTCTGCTCGGTGTTTCGTGTTCTTGCTTCAAGGCAACTGGAAGACTTGGACAGTGAAATGCAGGCCAATGCCCGCGCACACAACGCTGAGGTATGTGTGTGTGTGTGTGTGTGTGTGTGTGTGTGTGTGTGCCAAAGCATGCGCACGAACTGCTTGTTTTACCGCATGCTACGTTGCTGTCCTCATCGTAACTGTGTGTTCATTCAATTCACAAACAGCGTTTCACCGCCAATCAGTACTCGGGATGCTCTCGCTCGTTCTAACGACCCGTGTTCGCTCACTCGCTCACGCCCTCCCCTTTGACAAACTGCTTCTGGTGCACCTCCGCGCCAAATCCATCGTTGCAATCACACGTGGCGACATCTACAGCTGCTGCGTGCAACAGCGTTACAGACAAAAGCTCGCGAGCAGTCGGCTGCACTCGTGCAGGTGCTTGTGCAGCACTTTGACGAGTTGGCGTCGTCGCAATCGCAGCTGGAGGAGCTGCAGGCCACACTCATGCGCACCACCGACCGCGCGCAGGTGACAACAGGCAGCATCCCTTGGGACGGAGTGCTTACTTGGCTTCTTGCTGCTTTGTTCGCACACACACAAGAACCCAACCACGAGCGCGGACCAGAGCAGAGCACACACACTCACACACGCACGCACACGCACACGCGCAACCTCACGTTTTGTGCTTGGCCATGGCGACAGATCAAGCGACTGCAGCGTGTGTGTGCGTCTGCGCTGGGCGCCGTTGGTGAATCCCTGCAGCAGTTACGGCAGAGGATTGCACACGCTCGTGGGGAACAGGACGCCATGCAGGCAGCAACGTGTGTGTGTGTGTGTGTGTGTGTGTGTGTGTGTGTGTGTGTGTGTGTGTTGCAATGAGTACCATCGTGGCTGCTGTGGTGACTGCATGTCTGCACCTCGGTTTTGGGGTTTTGCACCTGTGTGTTTTCAACCCATTTGTTTGCCCGTGCGCGTGTGTGTGCGCGCGTGTCACCTTTACACCTTTGCATTTGCTGTTCACGTGGCAGGACGGCGCAAGACGTGATTGGAGAGAAGTTGCACGTGCTCACAGCGCAGAATCTGGAGCTGAAGAAGGAGATCCGCCTGGTTCGTGTCCCAGTCGACTCTATGCTGCTTCATGACAACATATTATTCCTCGCATGTAATCCTGAATGTGTCACTGCACTCGCTCACACGTGCGTGGTTGCCTGACCAATACCGCTTCTCCTTCACGAGTGTTCCTTCTCTTGCGCCGTGACTGCTGTGATGACAACATCAGACCATTGAGCAGATGGAGCGAAGTGGCGAAGAGAAGACGTCTCTCCTGCGCATCAACAGCCAGCTGAGGGAACGAATTGCTGTACGTTGTACATGCACACTAGTGTTGGACATTTTGCCGATCAATCCACGCAAACACACAAAGATCGCACAAGCACACCAAGAGCACACACATTGTTTGTGTTCATCCTCACGTGTGGGATTGTTGGTTTTGTTTCACGCTGCGATTGCCATGTGCAGGTGCTGCAAACTGAAGTGGAAACAGCGCAATCGACGGTGCGGGCAAAGAGCGAAGCCATGACGCGAGCAAGACAGCAATACACACAGTATAGAAACGCACCAGAAACACAGCCAACAGCAGCACCAGCGCCAACGACCTCAACAAGGCGCCCAGCAACAGTGCAGCAGCAGCGAGCAGCACGGTCGGTGCACAGGCAGCCGCAGCAGATACCGCAGCGTACATACAGGGAACGAGCGCCAGGTACGAAAACACCAGGACGAGCAATGACAGCCGCACAGCAGTGGCCAATGTCACCGGATAGGCGATATGCAGCAGCGAGAGAACGCCACAAACAAGAAGGAGAGGAAGAAGAGGATGTGTTTGGGAGCGAGTCAAGCGTGTCTTCTGATGATCACGGCAATCGACAAGAGGCATACCCGGGGCGCCTGTCGCCAACACACGCACGCGCTGGTGGTGCTGGTGACGGGACTGCTGGTGGGAGAGCCCGCACCTATCGGCAGCCACAACAACAACGATGGAGACAGCAGCAGGCACCATTGGAGTCTGAGTCATTGCCTGTGGTTGACTCGCCACGTCGGCACGCTGCCCTCGACGCCTCAACTGCACTCTCTCCACGCATCAGCGTCAGTGACGTGGATCAGGTGGCCCGCACCTCACAGCAGCGACAACAGCGCAAGCCAAGTACGGAGTGCTGTTGCACCACTTGCTTTTACGTGTGTGTATTGTGTGGGGGTGGGGGTGTATGAATGGATGTGGGTGTTGCTGTTAGTGTGGGTGTTGCTGTTAGTGTGGGTGTTGCTGTCGTATCACATGCACCGATTGCAGCGTCTTAGATCACCCATGAACACACACACACACGCACGCACGCATACGCACGCGCACACACACACACACACGCGCACGCATACGCACGCACGCACGCACACACACACACACACACACACACACACGCACGCACACGCACAAAACACACGCGTCGACACCACAGGGCCCGGGAGCACATCGCGACCTGGAACGGCGATCTCGATGCTGTCGTCGATTGGGAGCATGGAGGACCAGATGGCAGACGTGTGGGCGCTGCTTGGTGGTGACGCTCCAAACACACGTGCAGCACACACGCGCGGTGCACAACAGCAGCAGCGGCGACAGCAGCAGCAGCAGAGGGCACGGCCAGGAAGGGCCAGCGCTGTGCGAAAGAACGACGAAGGCGAAGATGCTGTGTCAGATGTGAATGTTGAAGTTGTGCACCCGCAGCCTGTTGATGCGGACCGCGACGATGATGACGATGAATACGCTGCCGCTACCGATGCTGGCGCTGCTGTTCGCCGTGGCGGCGGCAATGTTGGTGTGCAGGTGACAGCAGCAGCCGCTGGTGAGGGCACATCCGACACTATCAGTTGTGGCGGTGAGGACGAGGACGAATTCGATGTGTCGGCGCTGCGGACACCACTGCCACCACGCCAATCGCGTGCACGCGGAGCACCAGTTCGCCTCTCCAGCATCAGCGATATCTTCAACGAAGGCGCCGGTGGCGAGGACGATGATGATCTGGTAGGTGGGCGTGCTCTGTGTGTGCGTGTGTACGGTGTGTGTGTGTGTGTGTGTGTGTGTGTGTGTGTGTGTACGGTGTGTGTGTGTGCGTGCGTGCGTGTGCGGTGTACGGTGTGTCCTGTCTCAATGTCTTCTTGAGTTCCCGCGCACCGACCTTTTTTGTCCTGTCTCGCCTGCTGCTGTCCATTCGCATTTTAACACTGTGTGTGATACCTGCAGGCACTGGCTGCAACGCCGCTGCCGCCTGAAGAGCGTCCAGCACCAGCCACAGCAACAACTGCCGCACCCCCTCCACGCCCCAATGTTTCCACAACTGCCCGTCACCAGACGGACAACACTCAGACACAACCAACCACCACCACTGGGAAAGCAAGCAATGCACCTGTTAGCAAAGTAGGGGCCACAGACACTGCAACGAACACTGAGCCCAAGAACGACTTCGGCAGAACTGCACCAGGGAGACAAAAGAAAGGTGTGCGTGTGTGTGTATATATATATATGTGTGAAAAGCTTGGTTTGTGTATGTGTGGGTGTTGAGTCTTGTCGCTGGCTTTAGCCATGAACTGGCAAACGCGTGTGTGTGCTTGCTTGCACGAGCTGCCGTTCACGCTTGTCGCTTGGATGATGTGTTCTGCTTACACGTCCCTCTGCTGCGCTGCTCAGGTGGGCGAGGGCGCAACGCGCCGCCCAACTACAACTTGCTTCGTTCTCAGCAGCAACAGCAACAGCAGCAGCAGCAACAGCAAAGTGACGGCTAGTGGGTTGTTGTTGTGACATGTCATCATGCCTGCACCCATGTTTCTCCTGTCTGCTTTACATTGTTTGCCAAGGATAGGTTCGGTTAATTCGGATGTACACAACGCCTTTCTTCATCCTTGTTCTCATGTCCACACTTGTTGTACACACTCGCACGCTTTTCCTTCCTATTGTTGCTGCTCTCCTCTTTTTGACTTGTCTACACACTCCATAAACGCACAGCGAGCGAGCCAGCACTCGCCTCAACATCGCAGCCAACACAAATAATTGTCACCTCACACGCGTGCACATGGCGGTGTTTGGGTAAAAACATCAACGCTCAACATCACCGCATGTATCGCCATCAAGCAGCACAACGTCGACTATCTTTCCACCAACTTCATGTCACACACAACAGATGCTGTCGTATATGAACTGCGCGACATGTGTTGGGCCAACAAGGTGCGCCGCTGCCCGCTCAACCATGTTCAGCAGCAGCGTGTTGAACATGGCACGGCCACCGTCGCCAACCAGCTCTTGCACCTGTACGTTTGTGTATCAGTGTGTGTGTGTGTGTGTGTGTGTGTGAGGACGACTGATGACACGTCACTTTGAACAAAGTCAAGCACTGTCAGCAAGAGTGCACATTGCTCCACTCCTGTTCGCACCTGCTTCAAATCTGCCACCACATTGCGCACTGTCCCTTGAATGTCCTGCAGCACCACGTTGGCGTTGGCAATGAACGCGTCCACTTCATCGTGTCGGCATGACGGCGGCGGTGTCGTGGTGTTCGTGGCGCTCAAGGACGACCGCGAGCGACACACGCGCGCACACAACGCGCGCATGTGCGTCTGTTCGCCACCAGAGGCTGCACCATCACCATTGGCATGAGCTGCTTCGCGCATTCCACCATCGTGATTGGTGGTGCACTGGAAAGGGACGTCGATGCTGCCGTATCGATCCATCAGCAGTTCATCCAACAGCAGCGTCACCCACTCGTCATCTCTGGACGTGTGAATGTGTCACGGAATGAGGGGACGCGAGAACAGTGGTTGGCTGCAACCTCAACAGCTCAGCATTTTGCACAGGCACACAACCACGCACAAACACACACACATGCACACACGCACGCACGCACGCACACAATCACGTAGCATCGCACGTGATTGCGAGGTCCTGGTAGATGAGCACGAGCATTTCGCGGAGAATGAGGGGCGCAGTGGCGGCGTGGAGCAGCTCATCGTGGCTGAAGACGCGCTCGAGTTCGCTGCCGGCCTGATCAGACACAAACGTCGCACGCGCCCTGATGGCAAAGAAGAGTACAGAAGAAAGAGGGTCATGTCGGTGAGTAGGACGTGAATACGACACACACACGCACACACACACACACACACACACACACACACACACACACACACACACACAGGTACACACGCACATTCACACATGCACAGACATGAGCCATCGGGCATGGTGTAAACGCTGCGTTGCCAAATACGTAGCAAGGATGAGCAAAAAGGTGTTGTCGTAGACACGACAACACACCCGCTCCACGTGTTGACGGATATGGACGGCGTGTCAGCAATGACCTCATGCAACCACAGCGCCGGGATGGTCAGCACATCGCCAGGCTGAAGAGTGACACGATAAACCGGAACTGCAGATGCCTCCCCTGTATGACAATGGGCATGCCATGAGTAAGTGAAGCGCAACATAACCTAAATGAACACTCGTAACAAGTTTCAAGAAGACGAATCATAAATGTTACATGCAAACACACACACACACACGGACGCACACACACACACACACACACGGACGCACACACACACACACATACACACACACGGACGCACACACACATACACACACATACACACGAAACACCGCCAAAGCTCACCAGTGTAAAAGTTCATGTGGATGCGGGAGAGTTGGCGCTGTGCGGAGCGGTGGGCTGGATGAAGTGCAGATTGCAGCTTCAATTGCTTGTGGGTACTGGGAGGTGCAAGCAGGAACGTCTTGTTTCCGTACACTTGGAAGTAGACGTTGTTGAACACGTCATAGTGGGTTGGAGTGCGCGCACCACGCTCTGCGATCCACACATACGGGCGAACCTCAAAGTGGTCCTCGTGCTCCAACCCACAGGGCACTGCTGCGGCAAAGGGAAAGTCGGATGCCAGCTCTCCCAGATCATCCAGTGGTCCGGCAAAATTGAGGCGAACCTCATCACCAGATCGACCTGACATGGTTGGCGTTGCTGCCCCAGTCGCTGCTTCATCTGAGCAGCCTCCACTGCACACAGCTGCGTCCTCGTCTGCTGCGCAGGTTTCATTCAGGCCGTCATCGCAGACGCTGCTGTTGCCGACGCGAAGGAGCTCCGGGTTGGTGTTTTGGACACTCGTGCAAGCGGCCTTGTCGCCTTCCGCGCAGGCCATGTGGGCGAAAAAGGCGTCCGTGGTAAGGTTGTGGCGGGAGAAGTGTGGTCGCCACGTGGCGTTGTACACCTCTGGGTATTGCGCCAGCGGTTGGTCACTGGGGAACATGTATGAGGAGTTGAGCGACGGCAGGGCCTTGACGTCCCGCATGACCTTCGGTGGTGGCCATGAGGTGGCCAGCTGCTCGGGTGTCCAGTGCAGGCAGGGCCAGTCCAACAATGCGCCAGCGCCTTGCACGTGGATGGGTTCCCTTTGTTGCAACAATGGTTCAAGTGGGCACTCGGATCGTGCCCGCAATGCATCCAGGAGTTCCGAGAGGAGGGCATCCACTTCTGGTTCATTCGCACCAGCATCTGTGTCATCAGCGGCGCTCGCTTTCTTCTTCCTGGCACCCAGTGTGCGGACGGCCTGCCACCACTGATCTCCACTTGATCGTGCCGTTGTTGATTCAATCGCACCATCACCTTCACATCCGCTCGCAGCAACACAACCACCGCCACCAGCAACCACCACCACCACAGTCACAACCACAACCACAACAGCAGCCAGGGACGCTGGCCACACCACACCCCTCGCTGCTCTCCTCATCATCATCACCGTCGTGGTCCTTCTCCTTTCCTTGTCGTTGCAGAGGAATGGGTGTATTTTCTGCGACTTTTCCACAGACAGAAGGATGAGCGATGAGCGGTTGGTGCTGCAGGTGCGCTTGTGGCAGGGAGCGAGACGCGCATGGGAGGACGCTGAGGCCAGTGCCCTTGGCCATGCGTCATCATACTGTACAGCACTCACCCGCCTCAGGTGCGCTGCAGTGTCTGTGTGTCTGTGTGTATGTGTGTCTGTGTGTCTGTGTGTCTGTGTGTATGTGTGTGTTGTATGCGTGTGTGTGTGTGTGTGTGTGAGAGAGAGAGAGAGGGAGGGAGACAAACACGTGCGCGCACGTGTGTTGGTGTTAACGTGTGTTTGCGTGTGCGAATTGATTCGCAAAGAGCACCAAGCAACACACCCACTCTCACACGCACTCTCTCACACGCTCTCACAAGCTCTCACACGCTGTCGCATTGTCTCTTTCTCTCATGTCTCTGTATGTCAACGTGTGGCTGTGCAGGACTCAGTGGCAGACTGTACGTTCGCCACAGCAGGAGCAGCATGAACCCACACCCGAGGATGCCGCTTTCATGAAGGCCATGGATGCACGGGACTTTCTCTCGGCCCACCTCAAGAAGCTGGTGCGTCGTTGTGCTGTAGTGTGCAGTGTGAGGGTGGGTGGGTGTGAGTGTGGGTGTGTGGGTGGGTGCGTGTGAGTGTGAGTGTGGGTGTGGGTGCGTGTGAGTGTGGGTGCGTGGGTGCAAACCATTATCCAATGCTTTGCACATTCATTCATTGCTGCTCACGCCCACGTGGTGGGTGTGGTTCTCTTGAGCAGGAGGGCATTTTGGAGAAGATGCGTGCGATTGCCAGCAACCTGCAGCGGGAGATGGATCGACAGCAGACCACGCCATCGTCAACCCCGCTGCGGCGCGCCAACAAGCCATCATCAACATCGAGGCTGCCGCCATGCGACCTGGCGTCGCACATGTCGGCGCTCGTGGCCCTCCACGACAAAGAGCTGCAGTTGAAGCACACCTTGCTGGCAGACATGGGCACCGCGCCCGCTCGCACACACCAGCTGGTGTGTCTCTCCGCGTGGCTGGAGCAGCCTTTCCTCGCCATTGACGGCCAACACCACCTTGAGGCCATCAGCCAGTGGTTCGCTATCGTCTCTGACAGATCCTGAGCGGCCCGGGCCCTGGTCGCGCACGTGCACACGCGAGTGCACGCACCCGTCCATTAATTTTTATGTGATGAAAATGATGCGGCTGGTCGCTGATTTGTGGTGGTGGTTGTGGTGGTTGCGGTGGTGGTGATGACATGGGGCATGGCGAAGGTGAGACATGGTGCTGTGCTGGGTTGGACACCAAGGATGAGGGTGGCTCGTGCAGTGGCGGACGGGTTTTACTGCGGCGATGCCAACTTGGGCGTGACACGTAACAGACTGCAGCGACAACAGCAAAAACAAGGGGCCGGCGCTGATGGGGCGAAGGAAGGGCTCAGCGATCACTGCTTCTTCGCCTTTGCTGCCATGCGCGCCAACGCCTGTCACACGTGCAAATGCAGGCATGGACGTGAGACTCCGACCAACAGCAGCAGCTGCTACTGCAGCTGCAGAATGTACACCACTCGTGCGCAGTGATGTCTTCCACCACAACAGCAACCCACAACAGCAACCACAACAGCAACCACAACAGCAACCCACAACGATGCATCACCACCACGACGGTATCACTTGCTGCATCACCCATCACCACGCACCTGCTTGCGGACTTTCTTCATGGTGCTGATGCTCATCTCGCCGGCGAGCGGCGGGTAGATGGTGGCAGCAAGGCTCTGCAGTTTGTGCGAGAGCGTGCCCGTTGTGCGCGACTCGTACCCGAGACTGCGCAGGCACGCATTGACCGCTGCTGGCGCCGTGGCAATGAACAGGTTGGCCTTGGCTCGCACCTGTTTGGTGTGTGTGTGTGTGTGTGCGCGTGTGTGCGTGTATGTGTGCGTGCGTGCCAGTTAGTGTGTTTGATCTGTGAGGTGACTGCCGTGTTGTCGACTGCCGTCAACCACGGCGCACTAAAACTAGGACCCAAGATAAGCCGTGGTGCTATCGGACAATAAACAACAGAAACGTCTTGCAATGACTGCTATTGGGGAGAGAAGGGGGTGATAATGGAGGCAAGGACAACGAGTGCACTGTTGCCGCTGCTGCTGCTGCTGCTCACCATGTTGGTCTGGATGAAGAGCGGTGTGAAGGAGAGGACATCGATCTTGTTCTCCTTCAGCTCAACGCCAATCGTGTGGCTGACCAGGTTGTTGTACGCCTGCAAAGCAAAGGAAGCAGGGAGCGCGTGAGTGAGTGTGAGTGTGCGCGTGTGAGTGAGTGAGTGTGTGTGTGTGTGCGTGCGTGCGCGCATGCTCCTGTGTTCACGACTGAACAGCCAGATCGCCACCAAAAACAACCATCTCTTCCCTCTATTCATCGACATGCAAGCATCATGCGAGCACCTTGCTGCCAGCGTAGACGGCGTTGTAAGGGAGGCCGTGCAGGGCTGATGCCGACGACACGTTGACAATCCCACCGCGGTGGTCCCGCGCAACAAGGTGCGGTGTCACACCTCTGAAAGTTACGATGGTGGTTGTCATGGGAACATGCTGTCCAGTGAGTCGTGGGTGTATCCACAAAATGAACACACACACACACACACATACACATGCACACACACACAGGCGTACACACAGAGCCAGTGCTTGCTGGCGACCTGAGGACGGCGGTGAAGGCGACAACGTTGACCTGCATGGTGTCGATGGCTTGTTGTGTCTCACTGTCGTTCAGCTCGTGCAGCCGCGTCGGCAGAGTACCCATGCCTGGAGAGACGCACAAGCGCAGCATCGTGGTGAAACGGGCAGCGCGATGTCACTGTTGTCGCGCAACACACACTTACGCGCGAGCGCCCGCGTGAGCAAACACCACACCACAGTGCATATTATGACACCGCACACCACACCACACCACAGCACATCACACCTGCATTGTTGATGAGCAGTGCAATGTCGCGGTTCTTGCAGGCGTCATCGACGGTCTTGCGGATGGCGTGGAAGTCGGACTTGGCAAAGTCAATGCTTACCACGTGTGTCTCCGCGGAGGGGCTCGCCTTCTGCACTCGCGCGGAGGAACGGCCCACACGTAGGGCATTTGCAATCGTGAGATGGGGTGACCCTTCAGTCAAAATTACAACACCACTTACACGCACTCACACACACGCACACACTTCCACACACACACACACACACACACACACACACACACACACACACACACACACACACACACACACACACATACGCACTTCCACACACACACACACACACACACTTCCACACACACACACACACACATACGCACTTCCACACACACACCTTGATCTCTTGGGCGCAGGCGTCCAGCTTGGACTGGGTGCGAGACACGAGGACGATGTTGAAGCCGCGCTTGGCCAGCTCCAGAGCAAACGCCTAGTCATCAAACGCGGCCGAGGTACGATCGCGGGTATGATCAGCACAAACTCAGAAGAGGCTGGGTGGAGGTGCGATGGTTGCAGTGTAGCAAACGTTGACGTTCGTGGACGTTCGTGGACGTGTGTGGGCGTGTGTTTGCGTGTGTGTCAGTCACCTTGCCGATGCCATCGGACGCGCCAGTGATCAGGGCCCATGGGCGAACGCTGCCCTTCTGCTCAAATGTGCAACCAAAACGAGACAACAAGTGTAAGATACAGTCATGGCTGCCTGGGAGCCACAATATTCTTTCATGCCCGCAGCTCGATGGCATGAAAAAGCCACACACACACACACACACACACACACACACACACACACACACACACACACACACACAAGCACACACACACACACATCAACACACACACACACACATCAACACACACACACACTTGGTATCTGCGGAGGAGATCATGGCTTGGGCGAAGCACGTGCACCCACAGCGTCCAGGTGGCCTAAACCTCCCACACACACACACACACACGCCAACAGCGCAAGCAAGGCAGAGGAGATGATGCAGCCACCATGTCACATCAGTGTGCTTGCTTGCTCGCTGGTTGATGGAGGTCGCCTCTCACATCACTTCGCAGTGGCATGACATGAACACCAAAGCCCAACAACAACAAACAACTCCACATCTCATCGCACCGCAAGGCCGCCGACGATTAGCAATGCTGTTGCCAACATTCTGCGATATTTGATTTTCCAGCCAACACAAGAAGACCGTTGTTGTTGCTGTTGCTGGGAAGAACGACAAACGACAGCTGCTTTGAGTGTGGAGTGAGACTGTGACTGACGTGCGAGATGAAGGTTTGTTTTGGTGTAGAAGATGGAATGGGATGGCGGAGGGGGTTGCAAGCGAGTGGACTGAGAGCATGATTTGACAAAACAAAGGAGGTTGGAAGGTGTGAGATAGCTCGAGCGCTTGCAGCGTTACGCGTTTGCGAGAGACACACTCACCCTTTCCCTTTGAACTGTCTTGAAACATCAGCGTGTGTTTGAGATTCCGGGCCGTACCCACGGCATCGGCAACATTCAATTCAAGTGGCAGCGGGTTAAGGGCAACTTCCTCGCCACCTCCGGGTATGCGAGCCTGTGTCTGTGTCTGTGTATGTGTCTGTGTGTGTCTGTGTGTCTGTGTGTCTGTGTCTGTGTCTGTGTCTGTGTATGTGAGTGTGACCCCGTGTCTGATTGTGTGCTTGCCTGTGTGAGAAGTGTCGGTCGCCACAGCAGCCACAGCACTGCTGTAACACTCAACCACTTGATGTGCTCATACTCACACGCGCATGTGTGTCTGTCATCGCGTTCCCTTCCCTTCCCCCTCCTTCTTTGCAGTGCGAACCGCAATGTGTACATCTTCGACCGCAAGGGCAAATCCGTGGCCGAGTTTTCGCTTCCAGGGTAAGTGGTGTTCGCATGCCAACCGCTATTGTCCTTGAGAGCTGCTTCACCAGCCATTCTGCTCCGCAGGTCGTGTGTTCTCATGTGCATGTGCTGATGCTGTCCTGGGCCATGCCTACGAACCGTTTGTTGATTGCACAACACAGAAAATGCACCAGCATGGACTGGGACAAGAACGGTAACCAGCTCGCCGTCGCCCACGATGGCGGAGGTGAGTCCCTTCCCTTGACACGTTGGGGTGCGCTTCCATCCTCATCTGCGCTTCCCATGCCACTATCACCCCAAACCGTTATCTTACTGTTCACCACCTCGCCCCCTACTTCCACACACACACGCGTGCCTTTCCAGCCACCGTGTTCATGTGGGACTCCAACACCAAGGACGTGTCCCAGGTGGAAACAGGCCTCAAGGGCACCCTCACATTCGGTAAGCGCGACCGCGTGTCAGCTGCCATTATTGCACACAGCACGAGCGTGCAAGCATTTCAGTGCACGTGACCTGCCTTGCGAACTCGGTCTACGCTGCTCTGGCCCATGATGATTCCCCCTTGACCCGCTCAACCATGTGCAACTGTGTGTGCAGTGAAATGGTCCAAGGTTGGTCTTCAGTTTGTCGTCGGCAACAACAAGGGCGACGTCTGCATCTACAGCGTCGAAACCGCCCGCAAGGTACATGCGTTTCATGGGGTTTCGCGTGTTTCCGTGTCATGGACGTGTGTGTATGCATGTGTCTGTTTGCGTGTCTGTTTGCGTGTAAAATGTGCTGTAAAATGTACATGTATATCGCTTGCATTGTGTCGATCTCCAAACTTCCTCCTTGCTCACCGTCTCTACCCACGTGTCTACCGTTCATGCCACACACACACACACACACACGCACACACATACGTCGACGTCAGCTGCCCATCCTTGGCAAGCACCGCGGCCCCATCCTTAGCTGTGACTGGAACGCCGAGAACAAGTTCACCGTCGGTGCGTGAAACTCGCGGTGACTAGCAGTTGGCAGCATGTTGTTGCGATGCTCATTGTGGCTGCTGGAACCCTTGGTCATACCACAGCCACCACCACCGCCATCATGACCACCATCAAGTTGCAACCAATTGTTCTCACCATTTGTGTTGGCTTCATTTTGTATGCATGTACGTATGTGTCTGTGTGTCTGTGTGTCTGTGTCTGTGCCTGTGCCTGTGTGTGTCTGTGTGTGTGCCTGTGTCTGTGTGTCTGTGTCTGTATATGTGTGTGTGTGTGTGCAGCGTCGAGCGACCAGACCATCTCGATCAACACCAGTGATGGCGACACGCTGGCGCAGCCGCTGCTGGAGCACGAGCCGACCCTCGTGCGCTGCTTCGACCCAAAGCCAAGCATGCTCAACAAGGACGTCTCGGTACGCGGTGCCTGCCAGGGTGTCTTTCAACACCAACCGCAAAACAATGCACTTGAACCGATACACACGCACAAACATACATACATACATACATACATACATACATACATACATACATACATACATACATACATACATACATACATACATACATACATACATACATGCATACATACATACATACATACATACATACATACATACATACATACATACATACATACATACAAACATACATACATACATACATACATACATACATACATACATACATACATATGTCAACACAAGGCGCTTGTGTGTGAGCGCGGTCGCATCTCACATGAACGTGTGCATCACCAATCATTTTTGGTTGTGCCAGGCGCAGATGAGTGTTGTCCTTGACAAGAAGACGCTGCTGCTGTTCAAACCAGACGATCCGGACCACCCGATTGAGCTCGCCTTTCAGACCCGATACGGGAACATCGTCGACTACTCATGGTACTGCGCCCTGCTTCGTTGCGCTTTGTTTTGTTTCTTGGTTGTTTGTGGTGTGTGTGTGTGTGTGTGTGTGTGTTTGAGTGTATTATTCGCGCCTTACTCCCGTCCATTTCTGCTCTCTTCCACATGCGTCCACAAAATGATACTCTCCCTTCTTTCACTCCCTCACGCATTTACCGCCGCCACCATCACGATCATCCTCCACGGTCCACCATCGCGGTGCAGGTTCGGCGATGGCAAGCTGCTGATTGGCTTTTTCCAGCGGGTTCTTTTGTGATTATGAGCACGCGCGCGTCGCGGCAAACTATCCATTCAATCATAGGCGGGCTGCAGATCGTTCCGGGCGTTACATTTGATATGTCACCACACATGATTCCCGCCAAGACAAAGCCTATCGAAGATTGCCGATCAGAGCTAGTGGAGCCGAAAAGCGCTAGATACCAACTTCTGAATTCACTCGGCGCGGACTGTATCATTCCGGATGCCTTATTAGTAAGGGGGCTTCTGCGAGAGCGGATTTCTACACGTTATTATATACGCGCCTATGACTTTGGGAGCATTTGAGTCGGAAGACATCTCCAAACTAAGCACTAGGTAAGATGCCACCTGAAGATCCGTAGAGAAGGCTATGGCTTAGCGATAATACAAGGCTTCGGCCACCGGACCGCCCTTTGGAGCGGGTACTCCTTCGACAGTTAGCCAATTACTTGCAGAGAGACGCGACGTCACACACACACACACACACACACACACACACACACACACACACACACAAAATCACGTGTTGATGTTGGCGTGCGACATTTTTTCTTGGACAATTTGAGGGGTGGGAGGGACGCTTGTGGGGGAATGGATGTGCGCGCATGAGTGTGAGTGATTCAGCCAACGAGTGTGTGCACGCCGTTTGTCGTGGTGTCTGTGCCGCCAAACCCCCCCCCCCCACCGTTCGAAGAGTATTGACTTTGTGTGCACGTGTGTGGTTTCGTTTCACCTCAGGCCTGCTGGACACGATGTCGTGGACAGACGACGGGCAGCTCCTCTCCATCAGCACCGAAAACGGTACACCACATGCTCATGATAGCCTGCTGAATGAATGCACTCCCTACAACCACCACCACCTCTTCATTCTTCTTCTTCTTCTTCTTCTTCTTCTTCTTCTTCTTCTTCTTCTTCTTCTCCTTCTTCTTCTTCTTCACCGCCACCACCACCACAAACTCAATTTTTCTCCCCGAACCATCGCCATTCTGCGCCATGCTTGCAGGCACGCTGTACACTTACCTGACAAAGCTGCCGCTGCTCGGCGACGTCTGCGACACCTCTGTCGCGTACCTCTCCTCTCTCCAGGTCAGTACCCTTGCATGCATGTATACGCGGCGTGTGTGCGTGCGTGTGTGCGTGTTTGTGTGTGTGGCGTGTGTCTGTGTGTCTGTGTGTCTGTGTGTGTCTGTGTGTCTGTGCGTGCGTGTGTCTGTGTGTCTGTGTCGCGCTTCCATCTTCTCACTGCCTGCTGCCACTCATTGCATCACACCCATATCCGCTACGCCCACGCTTCGCCAGGAGCTGACGGTGTTGCCGGACGAGGGTGCGCCGATCAAGATCAAGCTGCCGATTGAGCCCGCGACCGTCGCTGTGGACGAGTTCTACGCAGCCTGCGGGATGAACAACACCGCGTGGTTCTTCCTCCTCGATGACGGTGCGAACAACAGCAGACATTGCAGCGCAGCTGGTGTTTTGAATCTTGCTGTTGCACAGTGTTGTGTGTGCATGAAAAAGAGTGTGGATCGCTATGCTGTGGCTCGAAGCAATACCGTCGCTACTCGCGTCGTTCACCGCCACCATTGTTGTGTTCGCCACCAGGACGGGCGGAGGAAATCGACACTGAGCCGCGCACATACACGGGCAGCATCAAGTCCATCAAGCTGTGCGGGCAGTACGCAGGTGAGCCCGCCCGGAGCTCATGTGTCTGCGCATCGCATTGTTATTCACTCTGGATGTGGTGGTCATGCGACGGTGCGTGCGTTGTGAGATATACGCGCACACATACGATCTCACTCACACGCACACACACACTCATGTGATCTCACGCACACACGCACGCACGAAAACACACCACTGCTGGGAGCAGCTGTGCACTGCGGGAAGAAGGTCCACCTGCATCTTGTCGAGTCGCATCCTGAGGACGACATGCCCAACTCGGAGAAGATGTTCCCTGCAAAGTCATCGGACGTCATCGACGGCGTCGCGCTCACAAAGTAACGGCGCACACACACATGCGCGTACATGTGCTTCACATCATCATCCTGCTGCTGATGCTGCTGCTGCTGCTGCTGCTGTTGTTGTTGTTGTTGTTGTTGTTGTTGTTGTTGTTGTTGTTGTTGTTGTTGTTGTTGTTGTTTGATGTGTCTCGTGGTGTCGCGTGCATTGTGATGGACTCCCTGTCTTGAAGCAACCATTCCCCCTCAGCCTCACCACTTTCACCCACATCTCTTCATTGCACCATCGCGCAACACCACACAACACCCTCGCTTTTGCGCATGTTCTCAGGAATTTCCTGATCTACTCGACGACGGAGGGCGCCGTGTACTACTTCTCCCTCGAGGACTGGCAGTTTGTCAACGAGTACAAGCACCCCTGCGGTCAGTGAGCAAGCCTCCCTTGTGGTGTTGGCGGTCGCGGCGAGGGTGGGCGGAGGAAGGTTCGCACCACTGACACCCTTTCCGACACACCACAAACACACATATGCACACACACGCACACGCACACGCACACGCGCACACACATGACCTAACATCTCGCGAATCCTCATTTCTCCTTTTCTTCCCCAATCGTTCACGTTGGACTCACCGCAGGCCTGAGCGGGCTGACGGCAGACAGCAGCGGCACACGCGTTGCATTCATTGACGCAAAGGGGGATGGTATCATCTACAGTCCCGTGAGTTGCGTGCAACCGCCACCGCAAACCAGTCGTGTGCAGCCCATGGCCGTGTTGCCATTCTTCCACCCTTTTGACGCTCATCCCCTCGTGCTGTCTTGCTTGTTACCCTTTTCTCGCGCGCGTATGAGTGCGTGTTTTGCGTTGAGCACACCACCCACGAACACAGCCCTCAGCTCCTTCTGTCCTAACACCTCTCCACCCACCCCCGGTGTGTGTGTGTGTGTGTGTGTGTGTGTGTGTGTGTGTGTGTGTGTGTGTGTGTGTGTGTGTGTGTGTGTGTGTGTGTGTGTGTGATGGCAGGTTGATGACACGACGCTGACGCTGCCCAACTTCCCCAGCCGCCCAAAGGGATTCGTCTGGGACGTCGCCTGCGAGGAAAAGTGAGGGCTGCGTGTTGTTGTGGTGTCTTGTTTGGACAGGGAAGCATGGGCGGTGGGGAAGGCGGGCACGGCTGGGAAGTGGTGCAAGTTTTGTCGCCATTGCGGTGCTGTGGAATTGTGTGGTTTGGTGTTGCGTTGGACACTTTGCTGACGCATGCACTTGTTGCCTCTAATATTGCATTGTGGTGTGACACAGGGTGTTCATCGTGTACGATGAAGAGAACATCTACACCTACGTGGAGCACTCGGAGCACATTGACGGTTCGTTTCGTGTGCTCTGCGTGGCTGCGCTGTGCCTTCTGGCCCCATTTGCTTGCTGACGTGTAGCACCTCACCCTCCCCCCCCCCTCCTTGATCGACAACCCGACTGACCATGCGCTCTTTCCACCGCCGCCTTCACCGCCACGATGTGTGCGTGTGCTTACAGGTGCCCACTGCGAGTTTGTTGGCCTGACGAAGCTGCAGTACGGGCTGGTTCCCATTCGCCTTGACGACGGCCGCGTCACATGCCTCACCCCGAGCGGCAAGGTGCCGTTGACTGCTCTTGTTGTTGTTCTTGTTCTTGTTGTTGTTGTTCTTGTTGTTGCTGCTGCTGTTGTTGTTCTTGTTGTTGTTGTTGTTGTTGTTGTTGTTGTTGTTGTTGCTGCTGCTGTTGTTGTTGTTGCTGCTGTTGTTGTTGTTGTTGCTGCTGCTGTTGTTGTTGTTGTTGCTGCTGTTGGTGTTGTTGTTGTTGTTGTTGTTGTTCTTGTTCTTGTTCTTGTTCTTGTTCTTGTTCTTGTTCTTGTTCTTGTTCTTCTTGGTGTCACTGGTGCTCCTTGCTGCCTCTCACCCTGTTTTGCACACAATCCCGCCGACCTCCTTTCCCTTCCTTGCGCATCTGCAGACCACGGCGGTGACGCTGTCCACGCACGAGTTCCTGCAGCCGGAAGAAGTGAAGGACGCAGAGCTCTCGGATGCCATCGCGGTGTGTTTGCTCACATGTTTGTGTGAGAGACGGGTTGCCAAGTTGCTCTACCCCGCTTGTAGATGGCCGATGGTGGTGGCAGTGGTGCTGCACTGCTGTAGATTTCTGGCTTGTTCTGGTGCCGAGCCAATAACGACACCACACCATATTCACACCGCCACCCATCAACGCACCGCCACCCACGCTTCTTTCTCCTCCTCTGTCTCCACTTTGATGCATGCTTCCAGTCCAACATTGCCATCTGCAAGTTTTCGAGTGCGTTTGCGCTGCTGCACCGCATGAAGGCATCTTCTCCCTCGCAGGCCCAGGCGCTCTTTGACAAGCTCGCCGCCGCCTGTCTCCAGTGCCTCAACTTCAACATGGGTGCGAACGTTTTGCGTGTGTTTGTTTGTGTATGTATGTATGTATGTATGTATGTATGTACGTATGTATGTATGTATGTATGTATGTATGTATGTATGTATGTATGTATGTATGTATGTATGTATGTATGTATGTATGTATGTATGTATGTATGTATGTATGTACATGTGTGTGTGTCGTTGATGCTGGCAACGGCTCTCATCCCCGTAACTAACACGTGTGTCGGTGCATTCAAACCCGCCATCCCACATCAGCGCTCCACGTGTACCGTCTGGCTGGAAACGCCAAGATGGTGCAGCGCCTCCGCTCCCTCGAGGTGTGATTGCCTCTGCGTGCACACGTGTGTGTGTGTGTGTGTGTGTGTGTGTGTGTGTGTGTGTGTGTGTGTGTGTGTGTGTGTGTGTGTGTGTGTGTGTGTGTGTGTGTGTGTGTGTGTGTGTGTGTGTGTTTGTGTGTGTTTGTGTGTGTGTCATGCATCATGTGTGCATCATCGTGCATCACATAAGAACCACTCATTTCATGACTTCGCCATCGTCAAACCGACCATCCCGTCTTCCCTTCACGTCTCCACGTCTCCACATTGCTGCAGTTTGTTGAGGATCGCCACTTGCTTGCTGGTCACATCTTCCTCTTCAACAGCGAGCCAAGCAAGGCCGAAGGTACCCCCAACCCAGTGATGTGTCGTGTATGTGCTTGTATTCATGTGTGCGTGTATTTGTGCTCTTCTGTGTATTCGTGCGTGCGTGTGTGTGCGTGTGTGTGTGTGCGTGTTATCTTTTCGCCGGTTCTCACGTGTGCGGTTGCCCTGCCGCTGCGTCGCCGCTGCAGACCACTTCCTCAAGTCCTCGCGCCCAGAAGAGGCCCTCAACGTAAGCACCCGCCAACGAACAATGCCATCTTTCTCGCACACGCGTTCCCTCTTCATTCACCCACTCACTCACACACCCACTCACTCACTCACACACACTCACACACACACTCACACACTCACTCACTCACTTACCCACTCACGCACACATCTCAACACGAGCACAGATGCATCGGGATCTGCTGCAGTGGGAGCAGGCGCTGAATCTCGCCGGCCGCTTCTCAAAGAAGGACATCCCCGCCCTCTCCCGCGAATACGCGCAGCAGCTCGAGTTCCAGTACGTCTCTCGTATGCTGCTCTCGCTGCCACCATGTTGCTGGCGCCTCGCGCGCACATGCACATGCACATGCACATGTACATGTACGTGCGCGTACACACTCCATGCCTGTGCTGCTGCTTCCATGCCCGTCCCACACAGAGCGCAACCTCAACCAACATCGCGTTTCTTGTTGTTCTCCGCCCCCCTCTACTGTGCAGGGGCAACTGGACAAAGGCGCTGCAGATGTACACGAGCGCTCTCAACGGCGACAAGAACGACCGCAATCACGTGCTGACGTGCAAGGCCGGCATGGCTCGCACCGCCATCCGTCACGGAGACATCAACCAGTGCGTTCGTCATGTTTGCTGTTTGGTCGGAATGTGTGCACAGTGGGTGATACCGAAGGAATCGATGTTGTTTGTGTTGTTCGAGTGCTCCTATTCGCTCAAGTAAGCATCCACGTGCTCCCTTACACAACACACAACACACACACACCCAACACTACACGTGAATGCAAATGCGAATGTGTGCAGGGGCATTTCGCTGGCCAACGAGCTGTCTCAGAAGCCGCTCTATCGCGAGTGCGCAGCTGCACTTGAGGACATGAACCAGGTGACGTTTGCTGGACGGGGATGTGTCGTCATGGTGATCGTGGTGGTGGTGGTGGTGGTGGTGGTGGTGACAGTGGTAGTTGATGCCGTGGTGGTGGCCGCGGTCATCATTTTCTTCTTCCTTCTTCCACTCCTCTTCCTTCGTCTCCGCTTCTTGCTCCTTGGATCTTTTCGTGCATGAGCTGCATGTGTTCTTGCTGCTTGTTGTTGTTGTTGTTGTTGTTGTTGTTGTTGTTGTTGTTGTTGTTGTTGTTGTTGTTGTTGTTGTTGTTGTTGTTTTTGTTGTTGTTGTTGTTGTTTCTTACCCTCCTTGCAACCCGCCTGCTCACGTGACCAAACCACGTGCCTGCAACAGCTGAATGAGGCTGCTGAGATGTATGAGCGGGGCGGGCAGTACGACAAGGCCGCCGCCATCTTCATCAAGAGCAAGAACTGGCCAAAGGTTGGCCAGTTGCTCCAGCATGTCTCGTCGCCAAAGCTCCACGCTCAATACGCAAAGAGCCGCGAGGTGTGTCGTGTGTGTATGCGTTTTGGTTTTCTGTGCGTGTATACATTTTGTGCGTGCGTGTGTGTGCGTGTGTGTGTGTGTTTGTCCGATCGTGTTGGATCATGTGTTGATACTTACCCCTTCTACACCTTAAAGTCTTGCTTGCCCTGCTTCCCCGTCCTGCCTTCTTCTCATCCGACACCACCTTGCCATGGGTCTGCAGGCCGACGGGAGCTACAAGGAGGCTGTAGCGGCATATGCTGCGGCCAACGACCACCTGTCTGTGATTCGCCTCAACCTCGAGCATCTCCGCAACCCGGACGAGGCCGTTCGTGTCGTCAAGGTACCCCCCTTATGTCATCTCACTGCTGCCCTGATCTCTGTTTCCCATCGTGGTTACCTGTTCCATATGTGAAGTATCCATTGCTCGCCTGGCCACTTTGCTGTTTGCATGAATGCTTCCACTGCCCTTCCAATGCTGCCGCTAACCCGTTATCCTCATTCACCCCCCCCCCTTTTAACGAAACCACCAATTGACACGCCTGGCCCACTGCAGGAGACGGGCTCGATTGAGGGCGCCAAGATGGTTGCAGACTTCTTCCGCAAGCTTGGCGACTTTGAGTCTGCGGTGCAGTTCCTTGTTCTCTCGCAGGCCAACGAGGAGGCGTTCAAGATGGCCCAGGAGCACAACCAGCTCGGCGTGTATGCGCGCGTGCTTGAGTCCAACGGCGGAACAACAGACGACTATCGCCGTGTCGCCAGTCAGTTGCACACCCCACGCTGTTGTCTTGTCGTGTCAGCCTTGTTTTCCGACCACGCGCGCGTGTGTATATGTGTGTGTATGTATGTGTGTGTGTGTGTGTGTGTGTGTGCTGATTCGTGTTTTCCCACTTCCACCATCACCACCATTCACATGCCATTCCCCACCCCCGCCACCGTTGCCAGAGTCGTTTGACAAGGTCAACGAGCCCGTGGAGGCGGGCCGCTTCTACTGCAAGGCCGGCGACTACGAGCTCGTGCGTTGAAATGCTTTGATCCCCGGCAGCGTTTGTGTGTATGTGTCTGTGTGTTTGAGAATCAGTGTGTGTGTGTGTGTTGTTGTTGTTGCAGCGGACGCAACATGTGTTCGCTATCCTTCCGAAAGCACGCTCCTCTCACATCTACACTCGCTCAAACACCCGCGTGTGTGCACTTGCTGCTGCAGGCGATCACGCGGCTGCTGTCCACGAGTGCTGGCGACAACACGAACATTGAGCTCGCGATTGAGGCTGTTGGTCTCGCCAAGAACGAGTCGCTCACGCAGAAGGTGGTCGACTACCTCATGGGCTCCACAGACGGCGTGCCAAAGGTGCGCAGGAGATTGTGTTTTGTGCGTGGACGTGCGTGTGTGTGTGTGTGTGTGTGTGTGCGTGTGTGTGTGTGTGGACGTGTGTGTGTGTGTGGACGTGGGTTGTTGGCTTTGTTGATGCGTTGCTGTTACGTGCTTCACGCGCTGTACGTATTCATGTCCCTTTCACTGCGCCTGACACGATTTGTCTACTATGTGTATGTGTACAGGACGCGAGCTATCTGCTCAAGCTGTATCTCGCTGCTGAGCGCTTCAAGGAGGCCGCACGCACTGCAAGTACGTGACCCTGTCACCACGCACAACACACACGTACGCCACATGTGCAACATGCCCGCACAACACAGCGCACACCGTGTCTCACCACCACCGCCACTGTGCTTGCCAATGTATCTGCGCATATGCACGCCAGTCATTATTGCCGCCGAGGAGCGCACGGCTGGCTCGTACCGCACAGCGCACGACATTCTGTTTGACATGTACAACCAGCTCCGTTCCCGCGGCGTCGCTGTGCCGCCCGAACTCTACGATGACCTCGTCCTCCTCCACAGCTACATCCTCGGAAAGGTGCGCCATGGGTGATGGTGGTGGTGGTGGTGGTGGTGGCTGTTTATGCGCGTGTTTCCTTGTGTGTGGCTGTGTGTGTGTGTGTGTCTGTAGAGGGCTGTTGATTCTTAATTGGACGGCCCATCTTCTTCGCAGCGCTCACCACCACCACCACCACCACCACCAACAACAACAACAACAACTGAAATAACACCACCACCACCACTACTACTACTACTCACACGCACACAACAATACCCAGATCCACCTGCGTCGCAACGACCATCTCAAGGCTGCGCGCATGCTGATCCGCGTTGCCGACAACATCAGCAAGTTCCCCGCGCACGTCGTGAACATCCTCACGTCCACCGTCATCGAGTGCTTCCGTGCAGGTTGGCACTTCCTTCCTTGCTGCCCCTGCACGCCGCATGCGGTGCATGTGAGGAATTGCTTCCATGTCGGTGTTGTCTTATCCCGGCTCTCTGCACACACACACACCCTTGTACCTGTTGCTCACTCCCTTCGTCATGTTGCCTACCGTGGCTGTGTGTGTGTGTGCGTGTGTGTGTGTGTGTGTGTGTGTGTGTGTGTGTGTGTGTGCAGGTTTGAAGGCGTCCGCGTTCAAGTTTGCTGCCATGCTGATGCAGCCTGAGAACCGCCAGAAGCTCGACCCGAAGTACAAGAAGAAGATTGAGACCATCGTCCGGTGCGTGTGCTGATTGGATGCGGTGGCCACACACTTGCACGACTCTGCTACCTCTCTGCTCCTTTGTGTGCCTCTGCTGCCCCCCCCCCGCCCCCCAGCACGCTCGACCACACCCTGTGCTTGCTTTCCTTGTGTGCTCTCGCTCATTCCTACCTTCCCTCTTGTTTTTCCACGACAGCAAGAAGGATCTGACGGAGGAAGAGGAGGAGACGTGCATGTGTCCGTACTGCGGCACCATGCTCAAGAACACCATCCTCGAGGTACGACGTGCCTGCGCTGCACTGCACATGTGATTGGCACGATTCTTGGCCATATCCCAGGTTTGCGTACTTTGTTTTCTCATCCTTGCGTGATCTGCGTGCTGTGCGCCGTCACAACCATCAGTGCTACGCATGCAGCAACAAGCTGCCAATGTGTGTTGCATCCGGCTACTTTGTCCCCAAGAGCCAGCTCGTCATTTGCCCGTACAAATACTCTGCGGCACGCAAGGCGGTATGTTTCGTGCGCGGTTCTGTGCAAGTACTGCAATGGGTGTCTGCTTCGCGCCTTGAAACTTGCCGCTGGTTGCTATCGTCCCTTCGCCTTGTCATCTGATGTCCCCACTCGTCTTCCCTCTTCCTCTCCCTCCCTCGCGCATTCATTTTCCTTCGCAGGAAATCGATGCGCTCATGCTGACGGAAGATTCGCTGCCAATGGCATACGACACCAAGTCCTCATACACCATTCCAGAGGTGCGCACGCTTTGTCTTCCGTGTGTGTGTGTGTGTGTGTGTGTGTGTGTGTGTGTCTGTGTGTGTGTCTGTGTGTGTGTCTGTGTGTGTGTGTGTCTGTGTGCTTGGGGGTGTTGTGTGTTTTGTATCGGGCAACACAGAAGCGTTTGCACGTCCGCTTCTGATGCATTCGCATTCCATCACGCAACATACAGGATGCGATGGAGTTCCTAAACGCGTTCCGGTCGAGTTTTGACAGCTCTTCGGCGTCCGCGGACAACGTGCGCTGTTTGAAACGATGCCATGCGTGTTTGGTGCTGCTGTCGTCGTTGTGAGCATTGCTACTCGCACACATCAGTGTGTCTGCCTGTCTGTGTGAGTCTGTGTTGACTTTGTGAACGGCTTGCGGCAGCGTTCACCAAACGCACATGCAACACTTGCTTGCACAAGCTCACTTCAATCCTTGCGTGTCTGCTGTTGTGTTCAGGGTGATGAGTACATTGATGTCGCCGGGGATGGACAGGACGACGACGATGACAGCGAGGGCGACGTTTGAGCCGCCAGTGCCGCCACTCGCTGTTCGTGCCATGTTCCTTTTTGTTGCTGGTGTTTCCCTGCTCTTGTTGGTTTGATTTGCTTTTCGCCTGTCGTTCTCTCTTCTTTTTTGTCTCTCGGTGTGCATGTATGCTCAATACAGCACCGCCAACGCAGCTGCACGTCCACAAATGGAGAAAGAGGGCGGGATAATACACACTACACGCGCGCGCGCACCAAACACACACACACACCAAACACACACACACACACCAAACACACGCCTGCGCACTCTCAATTCAAAGAGACAAGCATGTTCCACGCTCATGTCTGCAGTTCAATCACTCCAATCCAACATTGCTTGCGTTTCAGTCACTCCAATCCAACATTGCTATGTATTGTCTATTCGTCTGTTGCTGGGGGTTCGACATAATCAAGGCACTTATCAGCGCCATCACGGTAACGGTCGCTGTCGCCGCTCTTGGCAGCTTCAACCCATTCACTGCAGTATCGCATGATGGCAGCGTGTTCTCGTGCCAGCGTGTCCGGCACGACAAGTCCGTAGGTGCGCACGAGCGTGTGGAAGCGGTCCAGCACGACTGTGTACAGCAGCCAGTCGTACGGCTCGTCGCGAACGGAGAAGTCGCGCCATGCACTCTTTGGCAGGATGTTGTAGCCCTCCTTCTCGTACTTGGCTGCAGCAGGGTGAAGGGCAGCGTGATTGGATTGACATGCGCAGATGGGGAACGAGCAAGCATTCACATTGGGGTTGTTTGTTGTCCAAGGGTTGCGGTCGTAAACACAAACATTCGATTACCCATGCATGGATTAAGAGCAAGCGTTAGGGGATGAAAAACAAAACAGAATTATAGGGCATAAATGTCAACAACAAAAGCACGCATCACATCACGTCAGCAACACAAAGGTGCCGTCGCTGCCTGACACGCGAATGTACGCCGCCGCCACCCTGATTCCCACACGCGTACAACCCCTGGTCCTTTGCATATCCATGAGCAACGTACCCAAGAAATCCTCGCCTGGCCGCATGTTGCGGAGTTCGTCCGGATGGACTTTTCCGCCGTAAATGCGGTGGAACAGACACACAGACAACGAGTAGTAGTCGGTCAGCCCTCCAAAGGCAAACGTCGTCAGGAACCTCTCAACGGCAGCTGTCACAAACCCTGAACACACACGCACGCACACATGCCATGCGGTGCAGTGTATAAAGCCAGGGGATGTGCATACACCAGTCGGCATGCAATCAGTGGTGAGCGGTTTCGGGCAAAGGTGCGCTGGTTGCCTTGATGTGATGATGGGGCAACTGTGAAATGAAAGGTGTCTGATACGGGACAGGTGCATGACCTGACACGTTGCATGGAGTATGAAAGATTGCGTACCAAACCCAATGTCCACGTTTTGCTCTCCGCACTTGATGCCATTCAGGTGCTTCACTTGACAGTGCGCAATCCCTGCCTCGTACATGTGTGTGCGTATGTGTGTGAGTGATGTGAAGCGCGTGAATGCGTGTGTGTGTGTGTGTGTGTGTGTGTGTGTGTGTGTGTGTGCGTGTGTGTGCTTGCTTGCTGAATCAACGGGAGAAAGACGACGGACTGACCATTAAAAGCCACAAACTCTTCCAGCGTGTGTGTGTTCTTCAGCTTGGCCTGCTGGGTCTTGACCATCCCGTACCTAGGGCCAAAACGCAGGTGCGTGGGGATGTTAGTCTGGATCTGTTCTGCGTTTGTGTACGCGGCGCAGATCCAACATCCCCAGGGACGCGGGAACGCACAAAAATGCACACGTGCATGAAACACACACACACACACACACATTCACACATTCACACATACACACGCACACAACGCGCGCGCGCACATTCACACTCACAACGCGCGCACACACACATTCACACATACACACATTCACACATACACACATACACACGCACACAACGCGCACATACACAACGCACACACGCACACCAAACCGTACGCGTGGCGGTGGTAATTGAATGCGGAGAGAAGGCGGCGGCGAGGATCACGGAATGTGCCGATGTACGAGCCGTGCATGCGTGCACTAAAATCGAGTGGATTGTGGCCAGGTACAACGCCTACAACGCGGGCGGTGCACTGTTTCTCGCGCACCTCGCCCTCATCTTGTGTTGCGGGATTAGACAGCAAGATATGGGGCTTGATGTGAGAAGAGGTGATAAGGACAAGAAGGGAGGGGAGAGAAGAGCTGGGAAGGAAGAGGTGTTCATGGCACAAGTGCGTGCTCGTGCACACCCCAGCACATTCTGTGGCTGAACATGTGCAAGCAATATGATGACATGAGCACACATAGGCAGAGATGCGCAAATAGAGATGCACTTCCATGGATACATGCATAACAATCAGCAACAATTGCAGCCACAACACGGCATGCGTGTCGCCCACCTCGCATGAGACCGGAGTGGGGCGCCCAGGTTGTGAAACGCGAGCACTTGCGCTTGTTGCACGTCTGTCACGCACGCCACCACATCGTACAAAGCGCTGCATATGAATAGGATGGTCGTCCATGGAACAGCACACGGTACGGCAATGCATGGATGCAAGCGCAAACAAACCGCAGCAGACGACAGGGTTTGCGTGGGCGTGATACCTGGAAGCAGGCCGCACAGGTGTGTGGTTTGTATGCCCTGAAGGTTTCGTTTTGGTTCAGTGGCCCATCGCGCTGTGGACTGCACAAGGTAGTTAGTTTGGTTCAGCAGGATGCCAGGTGGAAATGAGAGGAGCAAGGAAACCCGTTGCGGGGAAAGGAGGGTTGTGCGCTTTGTTCGGCGAAGCAAAGTCTTGGTGGGTGGGTGCGTGGGGTGTTCGATGTTGGCTTTGTGTGTGTGTGTATGTGTGTGTGTGTGTGTGTGTGTGTGTGTGTGTGTGTGTGTGTGTGTGTGTGTGTGTGTGTGTGTGTGTGTTGGCTGGTTGGTTGGTGGTGCGGGTGGCGTGGTGGTTGCGAAGAAGAGCAGGTGTCATCCACGTACTCATAGACGACGGCGGACGTAAAGTCCCTGCACGCGTAGTTGTAGATGAGGCTGGTCACGGAGCTTGCACACCTAACAAACAAGTCCAAGGAGACACGGGCGGGATGGCATTGAGCTGTGCACGGTATGCATCGAGACATGTGCCTGACACAACGCGCATAACACACGTGACACGCACACACACACACACGTGACACACACACACACGTGACACACCGCGCACAACGCACAACGCACAACGCACAACGCAACACAACCGTGCGTAGCGGCCTCACTTTGGGATGTGTACCCAGTTGACGCGGTCAAGCGCCTTGGGCGCCGGTGGCATTACATCTGGATCCACTTCACAGCTGTAGCATTGAACCCCCGCCAGCCGTACGCGCATGCACAATCAGTTCGTGAGGAGATGAGAGTTCAGGCATGGGTTGCTGCTGCTGCTGCAAAGTTTGGCAGTGCACCCATACCATGAGAATCCCACGGATCACAGATATTCAGCACTCACTGTTCATTAAAGACGCTGTCCGGGTGATCGTAGAACAGGACCTTGCCCGTGTTTGGGTCGGTAATGGGCTGGGAGACAACCAAAACCACACACACACACATGGCGTGAATCGGTGGCAGTTGGTAACATGAAGGGTGCAGCTGCGTCGCGGTAGGTGAGGCAACACGCGCTGCGTCGCCGATTGCAGGTGGATGAACAAGCAATACCCATTCATTGACAGCACCCACGTTGGCCATCGCCATTGCCACACCTTTCCGCCGCCGTTGATGATGGCCTCTGATGCCCTCTCCAAGAAGTAGCAGGAGCATGTGGGGCAATCGATCGGAAACCTGCACAGTCAAAAGCACAATGGGATGGCGTGTGAGTGTTGGCTGATGGCTGATGGCTGATGGCTGATGGCTGATGGCTGGTGGATCCTCAAGCACAACACACCAACACAAAATCACTGGGTGCATGTCGTGCAATCGCTCACGCAAGTTGTCTGAAACGCCAGCAGTGCCACAGAACCGGCAGGCTAGCATGTGTCGCACTCGTACCCTTTATTGGAGGCTGACATGGCTGGCAAGTTGTCGTCCGACCCGGAGACGCAGCTTTCCCCAGCGCAGTGCGCCTTCGGGTCACTTTGTTTGTGTGTTTGTTTGTTTGTTTGTGTGTGTGTGTGTGTTTGTGTGTGTGTGTGTGTGTTTGTGTGTGAGTGTGAAAGAGTGTGTGAAAGGGTGTGGGAGGTTGTGCGAGTGAGTGGAAGGGCGTGTGAGTGTGTGAAAGGGTGTGGGGAGGTGTGTGAGTGAGTGGAAGGGCGTGAATTTGTTTGATGTGTGTTGGCTAACATCGATGAGCATCCTCGCAGGCACTTGCTTACCATGCACACATTGGCTTGTCGTGTGCTGCGCTGTATACAAAGACGCTGTTCTCCGGGCACGGCTTGGCTGTGACAGGGATGGTCCTGCAACAACCAAGCAGCACCAGCAGCACCACCCCCAGCGCTGCAGCTGCTGTCGCACGATGTCGCATTCTCCTTCCGTGTTGTGTGGGCAAACAACGGACGCAGTGGTGTGACTGGATTCAGTCGCTGCCTGACTGTGCGACCCCCAGGAGGACCCAGGCGCCTTTTGTTTACATTAGTGGACAGTCCTGAGCTACGAGCTGCGAGCTCTGCCTCTCTGCTGTCGTCCTCGTTAAGTCGTTAGCTCCTTAGCTCATTCTAGCGTTCTCTCCTTCGTGTCTCCAGTTCCAGTCTGGCTAGATAGAGCTCTGTGTCTCTCCTTCTTTCTGTCTCTCATCTCTGGCTAAGTCAGCCCCCCCCCCCCAGCGCCCACTTCAACTCTTTCTGTACTTCTCCTCCCTCATTCCTCTTGCTTGTCTGTTTGTTCTGGAAGGAGGCATTTCGTGCGTTTCCTTGGTGTGTATCGTTCTTGGTCTTGTTTTCAGGCGTCGCAAGCAAGTGTACCACTTCACAGATAGACTCATAAGATTTGTCCGTGCAACAGTGCAAAGGCCTGCCTTCTTTCCACTTCTTTCCAATGTGCGTTGTGCTCACGCTCGGCCGCTCGTGAAGTTTCCATGGAAGAATATTCTCGATGCGGGTGCAGGTGTACTACGCGCATCGCATTACTGCACCACGTCAACAACGAATATGTCGACAGCCACATCAAAACATAAAGACACAAGGATTCTAGAATGGTATTGCCATGTAACGGAACCAAGTTTGCTTAATCGAACCCACCAACCAACCCTGCGCCACTCCACTGGCCGCCGGGGTTGTTGTCACTGCTGCCATTGTCGGCATCATCGTGGGCTACTGATGACAGTCGTCGTGGTCATCGTCGGACGGGGCAAGCTTCCGTGGCTGTACCTCGGTACGGCCCTGCGCCCCCCGCTTGGCCTCTGCCCTACGCTTGCTCTAATGCACCGTGCACAAGGGGAGGGGAGGGGGAGAAGAAGTGGACGCACCAAGCGCGGCCGTGCGATGAGGACGACAATGCACGAAGCATCAATGCAATGGGTTCAAGGTCGAGGTCAAGGTCAAAAGCTCACCACTTGCCAAAGGCACGCACACAGTAGCATGTAGCACATACACACACACACACACACACACACACACACACACACACACACACACACACACACACACACACACACACACACACACACACCTTGGGCGACGGAAGAGGCGTGAAGCTGCCGTCGGTGGTGCGTCCGAGCGGAAGGAGACACCCATTTGTCTGGCACCACCGGGAAAACGCATTGGCCAGCACAACCTTCACATGCGCATCACTTCCAGTCCAAAGACCATAATAAGCAAGCAAACGAACAGGCCAGCCAGCAAAAGGATCAAGCAAGCCAGCGAGGTGTGAGCGAGCATCGACGGTTGTTGACAAGCGACACAGCGTCCCAGCAGCACACGCAATATGAGCCGACAGCTCAGGGCTGGGCTTACTCGGACTTGGAGTATAAACGGATGTACTGGTCCTTCATTCGAGCTGGAAGCAGCTGCCCAATCTGTGTGATGTGGCAACAACATCGCAATTGGCCACGACGTGCATAAGATGTGTAGAGATGACGAGGTTCACAAGTTCACTTACCTGCGTACACACACACACATGCATACACACACACGCACACACAGAGCATGGTCACCAAACACACGCGTCCACACTGCACACCTCTGGCTGGCGCAGCTTGAGGGGCCTGTTTGGCACGTGCTTGCTCCAAAAGTACACGTGTTCCAGCACACCACCGTCCTGAACATCACGAAGAGTGGCCCAGTATTGGTGAGGGCGACGTTGAATGCGGAGGGCTGAAACACACCACCAGTGTTGGGCTTGCACAGACCAACAAGCACGCTCGCAGACACACACACACACACAGACACACACACACACACACACACACACAAAAAGCAGAACTCCTCAGCCACCCTCCGCTTTGTTTCACACACACATGAGCATGCACGCAGACACATACACACACACACACACACACACACACACACACACACACACACACACACCGCTTGACTGAAGGCGAGGGTGACAACGTGAATGACAATGTCATCTGGGGCCAGCTTCACCTGTAACATTGTTCGTTGCACAAGAGTCAAGGATGGCCGTGACGAGACAGAAACAGGCACGGCACATGTCCGCACAAGCCAAAGCACACAGGTAAACAAACAAACAAACCAATCACCAACAGAAAGGCAAGAGCGAGTACACGCACCAACACCCACACACACATACACACACATACACACATACGCGCGCATGCAAGCACATGGGACCCCACCAATACCTGGGCCTCTGTTGGGTCGATGCAAGCAATGATGCCTTCGGCGATTCGATGGCAGTCCGCCTGGACAGGCAGCGCATGCACAGCAGCAGCCACGAGTGAGCAACGGGCGCTTGCAGGACAACCAAACCTCACGTTTTTGACGAACCCACGAAAACACACCCACGAAAACACACCCACGAAAACACACACACACACACACACACACAAACACACACACACACACACACACACACGAACCCACAAACACACACACACACGAACCCACAAACACACACACACACATCCCACACCAATGAGAACCACATATCACATCTACCCCCTCCTCCATGCTCCTGCTTCAGAACACATGCACCGGCTTGAAGAAGGCGCCCTCCTGCGGTTGTGTCTGGTCAATGAACTTGTACAGCTTGCGCGAGTATATGCGCTGCAACAGCTCCTGGGCCTGGGACGCGCGCGTGCAAACATGCGTCCAAGACACACAAACACACACAACATATTACGCACTAGCTCAACCCATGTGCATACACACACAGCTTGCACACACAATTTGCGCACAAACACACTTTGCACATACACACAAACACTTTTTGCACATACACACACACAACTTGCAGACAAACAAACTTTACACACACACACACACATGTGCGCGTTGCACCTTGCGCAATTCCGGCTTTTCGCTGAACTCGATGAGCACGAGAATGTCGTCCGTGAGGTGCGTGTACGCCTCCTGATCATGACAGCACAACCGATTTGAGTTGCGTGGTGTGAGGTCACATCATGTCACGCTACTAGCCCATTCTCTCAAACTGCTTGGCTGCGGTGAAGTAAGTCACCCCATCGCCACCCACTCATGCACGCACTCATGCACGCACACACACACGCACACACACACACACACACGCACACACAAAACTACGCCTCAACAATGACAGCGCTGCAACTGCGCACCATATCGTGGATGGCGTCGGAGATGCGGACACGACGTCCGCCAGTGCCCGGCAGACGAATGTGATCGTTCGCCTGCAGAAGCGCCTCCACAATCATGTGCTCGATGATGTTGCACGTCTTGTGCTGGTACGCACGCCGGTGAAGGCTGCTCGCAGCAGCAGCAGCGTGCGTGTGAAATGTGTGAGAGAGAGTGCGTGAAGTGTGTGAAGTGCGTGAAGTGTGTGTGTGTGAGTGTGTGCGAGTGTGTGTCATGGGTGTGGACATGAGTGAGTGGATGACGTGTGTGTGCGTGTGTGTTTGTATGTCCGCATGTCCGCGTGTACATGTAAATCAAAGCACGCCACATCGAGACGGCGTGGAGTAAACACGAGACAACCCATCCGCCGGCTTGCCTGCACACCTGTTGCGCGTGTGGAAAATGTCGTAGATGGTTGACTTTTCCTTGTCGCGGAAACACAGGGCGGGAACGCCTGTGATGCGTGGTCAGGGCAAGACAATCGGTGTGGGTAATGGCAGAGTTCGCGTGCCTTGGCACGTCCCAACAACGACAAAACAAAGAACAATGGAGACACATATACATGCATACACAAACCACGTGTGCAAACAACATACTCACGTACACTTGTGCATCCACACACCTACATACACACACACCCACATATATCCACACACATATCCACACCCCCCACACACACCCACACCCACACACCCACACCCACACACCCACCCACACACACACCCACACACACACACCCACACACACACACCCACACACACACACTCACACACACACACTCACACACATGTAAACAATAAGCGCCTGCAAACAGCACGGTCACGAGGACGACTCACCCTGAACGTCAATGACGCGAACGAAGCGGATGAGACGGCGATAGTCGAAGCTGACATGCAGGCCAAGCTGGTGCTCATCGCGACAGAAGTAGTCAAACTTGTCGCAATCAATTGAGTTTCGCTTGTTGCCGACAATCTCGTAGAGGAAGCACTTCTCCAAGGGGCGGCCGCGGTACCCCTCGTATCGCATGTGCTCGCCAGGCTGATCACCGTCGCCATCACCATCGCTGCTGGTGCGGCTCGTGTCAGTGGTGGTGGTGTTGTTGCCGAAGGATACGGCCACGGGCGGGGTGTCTGTGGTGGACGACTGTGACACGACGCTCAACTCGCCGTCCAGCACTGGTGCTGCAACGCGCGCATGAAGCGTGTGTGTATGCGTGTGTGTGTATGTGTGTGTGTATGTGTGTGTGTGTGTGTGTGTGTGTGTGTGTGTGTGTGTGTGTGTGTGTGCGTGTGGGTGTGTGAGGGCAGGGGCACACTACTGACAAAACAAAGCAAGCACAAGAAATGGGCAACTGCAGCCTCCTCAACCCAGCCCCTCTTCTCTCCACTCCCCCGTTCCCCACGCACACAGTAGGGCACGCACCGCCATCGTGCGTGATGGAGAATGTGGGGAGGAGGTGGTCTGGGAGACGGCCGTAAATCGCCTCCAAGATGAAGATGATGTCTCGATCAGTCAGCCCGCGTGCGGCCATGGCGGGGCCGAGGTTGTTCGCCCTGGAGCGGTGCAGTGGGTCAGGCGATGGGGAAGGCATGCGGGGGTCAAGGGGGTCAATGAGTGAGGGTCGGTTGGTGAGGAGGGAGAGGGTGTACTGATGGTGGTGATGGTGATGAGATGTGGTGCTGTGTCGTTGAGCTGTGGCGTGGTCTGATTGCATGCGTTGGAACGGGTGGTTTGGAGACAAGTTGAGGAGGCCTTGGACACGATTGCGACAAGGATAAGCAAGCTAGCAGCAGCAGTCAGTCGCAGTGTGCGTACTGGATCATGTGCTTGAACATCTCGACGGACGCCTCCTCATGCTGCCGTGACAACCAGAAGCAAACAAACACACATAGCACGCAGCGAAAAAACATGTGACAAGAGCTCAAAGTGAGAACACGAACCATGTCGGTGACAAAACTGCACACACAGTCGCGTTTCAGTTGCAAACGCCGACCGCCACCACCATGGCCACCACTATCACATATTCGCCTGCCTCGCTGGTGTACACCCACCGTCCAGGTGCTTCCCGGGTTGACCTCCTTCATGAACCAGCCGTCAAAGAGATGGCTGAAGGGACCGTGTCCCAGGTCATGGCACAGGCCGGCAATCTGCCGCAGCAGAGAACATTGGCATTGTGTGAGGTGTGTGTGTGTTGGGAGAGACAAAGCGTGTCAGTGAGTGTGACAGAGGAAAAAGACAGTCCGGCATGTCATGTTGGCACGACGTTCGAGTGAGTGTGTTCAACATACGCCGTGGTCGAGTGTGTCTCAGCAACCACGGTTCAAACCCTTACAGGTACGCAACAATAACTACATGGTACACACTGTGGCTCTCTGCTTGATGTACCTTGACGCACAGCTCATCCTGTTCTGAAATCAGGTCCTTGAGGTTCTCTTGCTGCTTCAGGACATCCAGCAGCTCCCCTGCCAGCCACGATACCCTACAAGGCGTGCAATGACGAGTGCAACAAGGACGTGCGCATGTTAAACCATTGCACGCGCGTTCATGCAAACGCCCATCAAGCACGCCATAAACATAGTAAGCAAGAATACATATGCACACACGCACACACACGCACACACACACGCACACACACACACACACACGCACACACACGCACACACACACACACACATACGCACACACACACACGCGCGCGCGCACGCAAACAAGCCCAACACCATCCACTTCACTTCGTACCCAACAGAGTGCTCGAAACGCGTGTGGGTGGCGCCAGGAAACACAAAGTTGGTTGCACCAAGCTGCTTCAACCGGCGGAGCCGCTGTGTTTGTGATGTTGTGGTGTTTGCAGACCAGTTGAAACGCAAATGGCATGAGTTGAAGAGAGTAAGCAGTGTTTCATGCGCACGCATGTCTCAAAAGGCTAAACGAATGGTCCAGTTGGAGCAGCAGTGCCAGCAGCAGCAGACAGGCCGCTGCTGCGTGCATGCGTACCTGGAATTGTGGCGTGTTGATGATGGCCATGCACAGAGGGTCCACATGGATGTGGCCATGCACTGGGTCGTTGAACACCTGTGAGTTGCGCGTGGTTTGGGAACACAAACCAGCCAGGCCGGATAAGCGAAGAAGACAAAGAAGAAGACGAAGCGCAAACAAGCTCAAGGGGCATGCATGAAGGGGTGCCGCAGCACAGCAAAGAGAGCAAGACAACACTGTCAGGCGCACACACACATGAGTGTTCGCTGTGATATGATGACACACTCACACACACTCACACACACTCACAAGACACACACACACACTGCACTGCACTACACTGCACTCCATGGCACTGAAAAGCGTGGTCCTTCCTCTGTGTGCCCTTACTGCTTCGCTCATATCCGCGATCTTTTGCAGCAGCTGTCAAAAGTGACAGGTGTGATATTTTGGACGAAGACGAAACCGCCACGAAGAAGGTAACACAGAGAGAGAGGAGAGAGAGAGGCAGAGAGATGCTCTGTGTTGATGGTGGGTGCAGT